GCAACTGCCATGTGATTGGTTGATTAGATAATTGCATTAATGAGAAATTGAACAGGTGTTCCTAATAATCCTTTAGGTGAGTGTATATGTATCACAAAAAGGACTCACAGCATTCAGGTAAAAACACATTTTTTATTATTAATGCTTACTATTATTAGTACTGGATGGATCACCTGAAAATGTAATTACATTTCCAGGTGATCCATTGTATACTCCTAGAAATTGTACAAGTTCGTGAGGGTGGGACGGGTACATATTAGATAGCTACTGTATACCAAACAACAGGGTTGTCCGGGGAATTCAGTGCTGTTATTTCCGACAGCATCAAATCTAGTTTATACTTTGTACCTTAGTCTGTACTTCTGATCTGTGTTTTTGTGATAGGGGAAAGACAGAGTAAGACTCACTGCATAACGAACTGACTGGTTACTGTGCATATGACTCTTGAATCATTATTCAGGTAGGGGAAGGATATAGTAAGACAGAGTAAGACAGAGTAAGACTCTCACTGCATAATGGCCTGACTGGTTACTGTGCATGTGACTCTTGAGTCATTATTCAGGTAGGGCTGCCTAGAAATCAGTCAGTCTATTTTTTATTTTTAGTTTTTCCATGACTAGCAGTAGGGAAAGTGCACTCGACCTTGGGAATGGCTTACTGTGCTCAGAAAACTGCTGGCAAAGGACCATGTGGAAAAAGTCTGCAAGATGTCGTCCAACAAACTGGCCATCTGGATGAAAACATAACAGTAATTAAATCAACCGCTTCACCCCCTCAATCTTAAACTGGGCTGCGGAGAGCGGCAGAGACCTCATGTACGCAAAGCCATCAAGGGCGTTCAGCCCAATTTATCACTTCGCATGTCTCTAAATTACACAGCTATATATATTTATATAACCAGTCTTTCGAAAGTCTTGCATTATTACGTGTTAAATAACATATTCTTACTTCAAAGATTCAAAAAGTATTTCCATTTCCAAAATGATTTGTTTTCCAAAATAATAAATAAATAAAATTTGATTCTCGATTAAAAGTCAAAATAATGCAATGTTTAATGTTTAATGCATATATTTAGAATCTAGGGTGCTCAGTCTGACAGTAGGAAGAATTTTTATTTAATCCTTTAGATGCAGAAGACAGTGATATGGGCAGATTTTCGCCTTGAAGCTACGGAGCAGTTAAATTGAGGCTCAGCATGGACAAGATTCAGGTTGAGCTTCACAGCAAGCAACTCAGAACACGGACGCTAATCAACAAGCAGCACCAGAATCCCCAGACATGGATAAGAATATGTTATATTTCGGGAAGCCAGATGTAATAAACATTTGCAGAATGTATATGCCTCTAATCTGCAGTCTTGCCCTTGATGGAATTACATAGAGAAGGCAGCCAATTGGCAGCCATGCACACACCTAAGGGCCGGTTTGCACTCCATGCTAACAACGTGTGCGTGCACGCTTCATGACCGCCACATATTTTCTGCAGTTTCCACGTGTCGTCTGTGCACCTATGTGAGGAATTAACGGTACACGTACGCAAGTACCACCAAAAATCTTGGGGGCAGTATGGTCACATTTTGAGCTAAGAAAGTGGTGTCATATGTACAAAGTCGTCTGTACTAAGTTTTCACTTGCTTACTTTCATAAGCAACACTAATTTTCAATAGTTCTAGTATTTGGAGTGGGGTTTACATTTCTCTAGAACATTTACTTTGTTATAGGAAACAAAACTTAGCAAACTGCAATTTTAATGACTGCTCTATTTCAAGATTATCTAGTGTATGTTTAACATTAGTTTAAAATTTACCCCAACTACTTTAGCATGAACTCTGCATGCCAATCCTATTCATTTTCATCTTTGCTGTTAAATCACTCATAAATAGATGTTTGCGAGAAATTGATTTTTTTAAACTCATTTTTGTTTTCCAAATATTGCAATATTTATCACAAAAAAATTTATTTTTGCCCAATATCATGCAGCCACAATACAAGTACAAAATGCTAAGTACTACAAGATATCCAACAACATATAATGCAACATTGTACATGAGGTGTCATGACCTGCTTGTACGTTCCTTATGTGTGCCACGCCCCCCTCATTACCTCATGTGAATTCCTGATTGTATTCAGCTGTCCCGTGTTATTTCTGAGTGATCCTGTGTATTTAAGTCCATATCTGAGTCCGTATCCCCAGGTCTGTCATTAACGTTGCCTGTGAGCGAAGTATCTGTTCCGTCAATAAACCCTGTTTGCCCGCATTTACGGCTCCCATTGCCTGCTTGCCTGCTCACCCACACTCGCCGTAACATGAGGTAATAAAGTGATATGTGGCAGAGCGGAGTACCAATATGATGTGGAGCAGCGGGCAGAATATAGAGAATGCTGCAGCAGCATTACAAAATTTGGAATTCGCTGTGGAGGCAGTGAGTATACAACATTTCATGCCACCACCTCATACATACAAGAAAAACCAGAAATGAAGGAGCCAACCAAGATGATTTTCTCACACTGCCCTCTGGTGGACATGACCTTTAAACCTTCAGACTGATGTAAACTATGTGGGCAAGTATGAGTAGCAGCACTGCTTACATAGTGTTAACATAAGTAGAGCACAAGCAGCCCTAACTCTCAACTATGCAGCCAGCCGGCACCATGCACTCACCTGACCCTCGACTATCCACTTGGAGATGGAGGTCTTTCCATCATCCCCTGCATGGAACTTCAGTGTGGCAGAGCGTGGGCTTATTTTGGAGATAATGAGGTTCGATGGAGGCCCAGGAAGTTCTTAAGGGCAACAGCGCAAAAGTTAGTGAGCTTGTTGATTTATCAGCTTTCGTTGCGTTTATACGCAATCTGAATCTATACACCTTGAGGATATGTTGACACAAGGTCTAAAGTGCTTGGCTTTGAGTTGAATGTGTTACATCATCCAGAGTCAATCTCTAAACAAATTTAGATGGGTATTTCAGACATCTGATTAATGGTTGTCAATAATAATAATAATAATAATCTACATATGAGTAGCCATGTAGTGACAGTGTCTGTAATCTTTAGAGATCAATATTCATATTTATGCAGATTCTAGGCAAAGCTGTGAGCTGTCAGCCAAATGGATTTATACCATCTGATACCCACTTCAATTCCAGGGGAAGATTTTTGGATAATAAACAGGATCCCAGCTATGTTTGTCAAGGGAGTGAGTTCAACTCAAGCCTGAGGATTTGTGGACCATGGAGGAGTGCGTGGGGGTGAGTCTCATACTCCAACACCTAGGGTGAGGCTGAAATGCTGAATTGTGTGGTTACAGTGCTGGGCTGGGCTGTAGGGAAGGGTGTGGGGAGCGGTGGGGGACTGACCTGGAGGGACCCCAGAGGAGATGGTGGAGGAGGTGATGATCCCCAGGCCCACCCCTGTTATGGCAGCAACCTCCAGGGTGTAGGTGGTAAGGGAGGTGAGGCCGGTCACCTTGTAGTCCAGTGTAGTGTTGGGCAGTGTGCGGGACACCCGTGTAGAGATCTCCCCCTGAACTTCCCAGGAAACCAGGTAGCCTGCAGAATGGGGTAGTCAGAAAATCTATTTCCATTTCCATTTATTCTTTATTTTCAATTGTGCATCATAACAGCCCCCCCTCCACCCACAAGAAATCATGTGTCAGGAGGATAGGATCAGGGGGACTGGAGTGGAGAAAAGAAACTTGTTTTTTTGACCCCACCTTGGTAATATTGCAAAGCATTGCACCTGTAGAAAATGTCCTGGACCTGGGAGCATGTCTCTAACCTGTGTCTAACTCAGACTAATAGCCGGTGGAGGTGCTGTTTCATTTGCAATGTGTTGGTTAGTATATTTTCCTGTTCTTAGCACTGCTCCAAATCAAAGACCGTCCTCTCATATCATAGGGCTCATACATCAAAGACGGTGCCGGGGGGGTCTCCAGGAAAGAGGTGAGACCACCTAGGAAACCAGCCCCATAGGGCTGCTATCAGGACCCCTCCCAGCTATAAAGTCTCCCTCCCCTGGTTCATGGTGGGAAGCACATGTGAAGCACGACCCCCCCCCCCCCCCCCCTCTCTCTCTCCCAGCCACGTTCTGTGAACAACCCTCTGTGTGACAGACAGTCACGTTCCTGCCTACAGTATGTGTGCCACAAACGGTGATGGTGGTTAATGGATTTTATTGCAGAGGCCCAATGGAGCGGCAGCTGGAAGCATGCCCATTAAACTGGCTGAAAATGTGGTAAATTAAAACGGAGCGCATTTCACAATGCTAGCTATGTGTGAAGAGATGCGCTCAGTGCTCAATCAGACAGAATAGGGAAAAACTTCCCATCACATGAGGGATATTAAAATAACCTGATAAGTCATGAACCATTTTGACAAAGAAGTACATAGAAGGCCTGTTTTTTATTCAGTTAATTAATCCTACATGTCAGGTTTGGGGCCATTCTGGAATGCATTCATCAATTCCAATCCAAATCAGGAAATAGAACTGGAGTTGGAATTTATATCTCCCTGATGTTCAAATTCATCTCCAGTTCTGTTCCCCATAGTTTTTTTTTCCATTTCCTGATCTGGACTGGAATTGATGAATGCATTCCAGAAGGGCCCCAATGTTTATAAAATAGATACATAAATGCATTATGAAAAATTATAATTCGGCTTACAATAGGAAGGTCTGATGGGTTATTGACAACAAATCAGAAATAGGTTGCAGCTATCCCCCCTTAAAAAAAAAGAAACCTTTTTATGATATAGAGAAAATGAAAAGATGTCGACATGGTTGATCATATTCAATCAATCACCTTGGATGAGGACTGGAGTAACAACGTAGGGGGATGACATCAATACCCATAATGTACCAGGCGGCAGACAGTTGGTGCCTCACCTATGATTATGCCATTCTTTTCTGCTGGTTCCTGCCAGCTTACCCTCAGGGACGTGTCCAGAATCTCAGTGTAGCTTAGGTGACCCACTGGACCTGGTTCTGGAAAAACAACACCAGAAGTCATGGTATCATTACACAGCTATAACGATGGAACATTGCATGTGTTGAGGGTCCACCCAGCGGAACCACACAACTGTAACGGCTTGCGGACTGTGACGGTGCAGTAAACAGTCAGGAATGAGGTGGAGAGCTGATGGTGTATGAAATGGTAACACTGTGCTCTTGCATTCAGGAAACTCATTAGTAATCCATACAGAGACTACATTCATGCAGGAGGTGGGCAAATGCGAACATCATCCTCATTTATCTCTGATTTTGAGTGTTTGTCTCCCCCACTCTCAGGTCTGCCACCCAGATGCCCCAAGGTGGCAGATAAGGAGCTTTTGAAGACTGACTACATTACAGTGTACTGATTTACATTCTCCGTGCTTCTGTTTAACTTTCCTTCCTTGTGTTTTGCTGTCAATTCTCCCCATTGACACACCAGAACCATTACAGCTGCAATCCGACACACATTCGACCACAAGATAAGGAGACGCCAATGACATTTAGTGGCTTCATGGACACTTCAATCTATTCCCCTCCACACAGTGATACAATCCACTTTATCTCATAGAATATGACTTGGCTTCCCTGTTATGTTTATGACCACCGCTAAAGCTGTTCCCTTTCAATGCCATGCCCATCCCCTTCATCTGCATGCTGGATGTACAGTAAATAAGCTCACAGAGGCATAATGAAATATAAAGATCAGCTGTCATAACCTTTTACATATTTTGTGTCAGTCCCAAGAAAACTGCATATATCCACTTTGACCTTTTATCCAGTCATGATTCAGACTATTTACTATAGATGGAATACACCTAGGGCACTATTGTGATGATCTAACGTAAAGAGTGAAGTGCAAGGCGAAACTAACATTTATAAGAACATAAGAAATTTACAAACAAGAGGAGGCAATTCAGCCAATCAAGATCATCCGTGGATAATTCAATTAATAACTTAAGGTTGTTAAAATCTTACCTAGCTATGATTTAAAGGAACCCAAGCTTTTAGCTTGCACTACACTAACAGGAAGACTATTCCATACTTTACACGCTGTGTAAACAAGTGCTTTCTCAAATCCAGTTTAAAATGTTCTCCTGCTCATTTCCACCTGTGCCTACAAGTTCTTGTATTTGAACTAATATTGAAGCAACCATTTGGTTGACTGGCATCCAGACCCATTAGAATCTTACATACCTGAATCATATCCCCCCCTTAGTCTCCTTTGCTCGAGGCTGAACAGATTCAGCTCAGCTAACCTCTCCTCATAAGACATTCCGCTAAGACCAGGAATCATTCTTGTGGCTCAACGCTGAACCCTTTCTCAGGCAACAATGTCCTTTTTAAGGTAAGTAACCAACCTTGCACACAATATTCTAGGTGGGGTCTTACCAAGGAATTATATAATCTTAGCATCAACCCCCTTGACTTAAACTCCATACATCTGGTAATTCAATATCCCATTGGTCCTTTTAATTGTTTCCCCACACTGGCGAGAGTGGGACATGGAAGCAGCAACATACACACCAAGGTCTTTCTCATAATCAGCTACCTTTATTTCAGTGGAACCCATAAAATATCTGTACCTTATATTCCTGCTCCCTGCATGGATTACCTTACATTTATCTACGTTAAATTTCATCAGCCAGGTATCAGCCCAGTCGCTACTTAAATTAAGATCCCGCTGTAGCCTCTGTGCTGCTAGTTCAGTATCTGCTACACAACCTACCTTGGTGTCATCTGAAAATTTAACCAGTTTACTGTATATATTGGTGTTAATATCATTGATGTTAATTAGGAACAATAGTGATCCTAAAATTGAACCCTGCGGTACCCCACTATGAACGCAGGCCCACTGTGACATTGTGCCTATAATAACTACCCGCTGCTTCCTTTTTGTTAACCAGTTTTCCTTCCTTGTTACAGTTCCTAAATTCCTTCGAGCTTAAGCAAGAGCCATTTGTGGGGGACAACATCAAAGGCCTTCTGGAAATCTAAGTAGATTACATCGTAGGCCTTTTTGTAATAAATTTCTCATGTAGTTTCCTAAATCCTACGTCCCCTAAATCCATGTTGGCTATCCCTCAGAATTTTATATGAATCCAGGTAATCTACAATTTCCACTTGGATTAAAGCTTCATTACTTTTCCAGTTATGCAAGTTAACCTAATTGGCCTATAGTTTGATGGATTACTTCCATTCCCTTTTTTGAATATGGGAGGTATATCAGCATGCTTCAAATCAAAAAGTACCACACCAGCAGATAAGGATTTCTGAAATAGCAAAGTTAAAGATCAGCAAATAATATCCCCCATTTCTTTCAAAACTACAGGCCAAATGTCATCAGGGCCCTGCAATTTACTTATTTTGAGCTTTGTAGCACATCAGCTTCAGTTATACATATATTGGTCAAAGACGAAGCTGTATTAGGAATAACAGTCAGTATGTTACTCATGTCCTCTAGAGTGAATGCCCCGTGCAAAACAATCATTAAACTCATTAACTACATAAGTTTAATTTTCAACTATAAGACCCTTACTATCCTGCATATAAGTGATTTCCGCTTTTAAAGCTCTTTTGGAGTTAAATATTGGAATAAACTTTTAATGTCATCCTTAGCCTTTAACACAACCTTCCTTTCGACATTATTCTTAAAGAGTCTAACTTTATTTTTAACTTAACCTGTAGATTTAGAAACTCTTGCTTGATTTTGACATCATTAGTTATTTTCCATTTGTGGAACAGAGTCCCTTTCCCCCTGACTTTATTCTTAAATACTTGGTATGGGCATGTAGAAATCCACTTTGCTATTGTGACGGAGGAAAAACCAGACTTTGAGCCAGTGCAAGCTGCAGAAAGGTTGTTATAACTCTCTTAATTATTCAGAAGTCTGTTTTGAGCGTAACATGCAATGATCCAATCAGAATGGAATTTCACCCCCCATTAAAAGGCAGGGGTACATGCACTACTGCAGATTGCTGTTTTAACAACGCGTTTACCTGGCAAACCAGATCGGTTTTCAGCCCAGCAAATGGACGTCCTCGTGCGCAAAGTGAAAATGCGAACACATCATTTAAGGGAACACCACTCCTCCACCTAAGCCTTTCAAGGTGAAGCAGGTGTGGGATGAGGCACCAGCGAGTGTGTCCTCGTTTTCTAGCATCACTAGTTCATCCACACAGTGCCAAAAGCAGTATGATGATGTCAGAAGAGGGGGATAACAAAAGCTCACTGCTGATCGAGAGCAGCGGCTGGGAACGGGGACTTAATTATTCTTGTATGTTTTTTGATTTTGGGTCTGCAGCTGACAAAGTATAAATAAAAGTGCAATCTTTGTTTGTACAAAATACAACCTACAGTTTTTAGGGTGTTTTCAAATGTTCAAATAAAGGCAATAGGACTTTTATTTTTGTACATCTCACAATTTAGATTCCCTAAAGGCTACAGACGATTCAGCTCTTCTACCGGCTGACCCCTTCTTGCCTGTGCTGCTGCTGGCGTACACTCCTCTGCTGGCATCAGCACATGCAGTTCAGCATCACGCTTTCTAATGTCCAACAGACATCCATCATACATGGCAATGTTATGCAAGATACAACATGCCACAAAGAATGCTGCAGCCTTCTGAGGGCTGTATTGTAATGTGCTACCTGACTTATCTAAATGTCTGAAACACATTTTCAGCAATCCAAATGTCCTTTCAATTACAGTATGTGCTTAATTCTGATGAACTTTCAAGATTTTTTAATGATAGTCAGTCACCCCATATGGCTAATCAGTACATCACTGACTTTTGAAACTATTTTAATTAATTATTTAAGTGGGCAGGTGGTGAAATTTAATAAACACATGGAATGGCTGGGGGGCCCCTGAGGAGAGGTTTGGGAACTGAAGCAGTGTTCATCTAGCCATCCAGCAAGTTATCAGCAACTTTTTGGAGAATATAAGAAATTATTGTTAGTTTTTATCGTGTGACTCTGAATATGCATATATTCTGGTGTCATATTGTGTTTTTGGTTCAAGGGAAATATATATTTACTACCCAGATAAATAGCTTTGAACATTTCCTTTGACTGCCTAAGACTTTTGCACAGTGCTGTGTGTGTGTGTGTATATATATACCATATATACCATATAACTCCTACAAGTGCATACAATTCGACACAACTACACAAGCATTGTTTTAACCTTTTTAACCAAACGTTAACGTTACTCTGTCAACAGCCTATTGTCTAAATTACCGAGCTAACAGAGCTACGTAAACAGAGCGAACATGAAAGCACCTGACTGCAGACGTAATGGAATAATCTCCCAATCAAACTCCGCTTCCCGAAAGTTATAAACTGCCTCCGGAACCCAGTTAAGGTACAAAAATCTATTCAACAAAAATAGTGATACAGTTAAGTCTTTTTTCACTCAGCCGAGCCTTCTCTGTTGCTGTGTGGAGCAGCCTGTGTCAGTCACCTCTTTTACTCCCCCCCCCTGACTCTCGAACTCACTCACTCATCCGGGCATGCACTGCGGTCTCAAGAGGAAACGCAGCTTTTTGATATAAAGTTTTTCTTGTTCCCGAATACAAATATTTTTTAAAGTATTTGTTCGAAATAAGTATTCGTAAAAAACACATTATTTGTGCCTTTCCGAATACCGTATTCGGGTTCGGCTCCACCCACCGGATCGAATCCTAAAAAGTTCGAGTTGTGATCGAATTTTCCCCATAAGAAATAATTTCAACCAATTATTTGGTTCCAGGCCCCCAAAAATTACACCTAAATATGTTTTTTTTTTTTAGCATTTAAACACAAAATGAACCGGATAAAACAAGAAGAGCATATACTGTACTAAATACATCTAAGCACATTTATCAAAACAGTAATTTGTAAAGTAAGAAATTAAATGTATCCAAACAATGTGTCCTGCCCCGATCGTCCACTCCTTCCGTGTGCCACGCCCCCTCGTTAACCCCGTGTGGAATCCCCGTGTGATCAGCTGTTTCTGGCTGTTGTCATTAGTCCACTGTATTTAGTCCGCGTTCCAGTTTGTTTCCCCAGTTCGGTCATTGTATTGTCCGTCTGCCTTTTTCCTGCCTTACCTGTAATTAAACCCCGTATTCCCCGATACCCTGACGTCTGCGCCTTTGTCTCCTTTCAGTCCCCGCTCCGCACGACAATATTATTATAGTTAAATGTATTAATGGTTTATTATTAATATTAAAATAATTAATAAGAAATCTTTATTTTTAAATGTATTTTATTATATAATAATAATTACTGTCTATCATTTTGTTTTATTATATAATTATATAATTACTGTCTATCATTGTCTAAATGTACCTTTACTGTCTAAATATTTGTATTCAGCTAGTGTAAACATGCAGGATGCTATCACAGCGAATGCCAGGCTGAGATGGAAGCTTTACCCTTTGTTTCCGCTGAGAGACGTGCTGCGTGACTCATTTCCCAGCGCATACCAGTTATCTTAGGTCGGTGTTCACGGTTTGACTTCTGAGATTCAGATCGAGTTCTAGGTTGTTCTGGCTGGTTCGACTTTTAAGAAAATCGAGTTCTAATGAGTTCGAGGACTGAGGTACCACTGTGTATATATATATATATATATATATATATATATATATATATATATATATACACACATTATGGCATGCCAAACAGGAGATATTTAATCATCTTTGATATATATGGAATGAAACCCGATACATATACAATGAAACTTGGAATATATGGAATGAAACCCGATATATATGGAATGAAACCTGATATATATATAATGAAACCCGATATATATGGAATGAAACCTGATATATATACAATGAAATCCGGAATATATGGAATGAAACCTGATATATATACAATGAAATAAAAAAAATAAAAAATCCATATATTTTTTTTTTTTCCCATCTCTTTTGGTGTTTCATTAAACAGTGAAAGGACCAGATGTACTCAATAATAATATGTATATAAATAAAATCAGATTAAAAACCATTAGTGCACCTCGGGCAGGAATAGTCTTCTTGTTAGTGCAGTGCAAGCTAAAACCCTGGGTTTCTTTAAATCAGAGCTAGATATGATTTTAACAACTCTAAGCTATTAGTTGAGTTCTCCCAAAATGAGCTTGATGGGTCAAATGGCCTGTCTCATTTGTAAATTTATTGTGTTCTTATTAGAATATCTGTGTACATAACGAGCATTGCGCACCCACACATTTCTAAAACACGCCGCTTAAATACCGCTTAATAATGTGTCACTGACTTTAGACATTGTTTTTGTTGGTTAAAAGTGCAATATTACTTCACTGCCTTAAAATAGCAACAAGTTGACAATGCGCCTGGCCAAACCTCATTTAAAAACACCACTCCTATAAGTGGAAAGCAAGTGCCAAATCATTAGTAATTTCAACGACATGCATGCATGGCGTGAAAATGAGCTATATGCTGGTACAACTAGCAAAACCACTTAGTGTTTCACTTTCCACAGGTGCTAAATGGGTCCCCTATTCTTCTCTGTCTACTGATAACATTTGACATCTATTCCACCAATGAAAAGATGTTTTATGAAGTGACCTATTTAACTTGTATCTTTACTGGATGTTAGAAGTGTTCATCAAAACTCTGGATCTCCTTCTGTTGTATGGAGAAGTGTTAACTAGGGCTGCACAACTTTGGATAAAATATAAATCAAGCATTTTTTTTCACTATCCACAATCGAGATTGCAATTTTCTCTCATGATTCTTGAGCAATATATTTTTCTCTTATTATTATTATTATTGTTATTACTATTATTCAAGCATGGCAAGTTTCACCGCCAGCAATCCCTCAAAGATATAAATATATTGGTTCTATTAGCGCAGCAGTAAGAATACGATCATTAATGAAGAGTGACTGCCATATAAACTTTGCAGAATGGAAAAGACACACTACCATGTCCTGCCCTACATTAACCCTCCTGTCACCTCCCTGGTGTGGCTTTAACAAGTCATGCCTGGTTAGTCTCACCTCTCATTCCTGCCCTCATATTGATCACGCCCAGCTGCCTCCCTCACTGGTTTTGTATTTAAGTGCCTCCCAGTCCTTTGTGCCTCAGTTCCGTCATTGACGTTGTTGTCCTTACCCTTGCCCCATTTTGATTTTGTTTCCAGTTCTGTTTAGTTCTCTTAAATAAACTTACTTTGTATGCCCTTATTACTGCTACCTCGTTTTCCATTTTACCCCGCATTACGACACACATCCTCTGCCACCATTTTCTTGTCAACTGATTTTCAAATATAAGAAATATATTATGAACATGTAGAACATAAGCCTTATCAGCATTTGTACTGTAATGCCCGTTTTTCTGCCTGCACTTCCTAACATGTGGTGTAGCATAGTCCTGTCAATTATTAACAGTTTAAGGAGAAAAACAAGAACTTATTTTGATGCAACAGATCTCTAATGTTCTAATGCAAACATGGCAGAATCATTGTCAGGTAACAATGAGATCGCACAGGGATCGAGGAATGGAGATTGTGATTAAGCCCTAGAATGAGACTGCACATTGGTATGGATTGAAATTGCGATTCAAAAATGATTCATCGTGAATCCCTAGCGTCAATGCACCTCACTGACAGCTGTCACTTGAACCCAGAATTTTTAACACCTTAACCCTCTGGGGTCGACGGCATCGTTGGCAATGCCACGTATCTTTCTCGTGTATGTCAGTTCAAAACTCGCTGAAATCTTATTGTAGAAACATTAAAAATATGCTGACTAAATCAGTAATCTGCATTCTTTTCAAAACGTCCATTGTCGGAAGTATTAAAGTTTTTCAAATTAGGTTAAATTGGCAAAAATGTAAACCATGTCACCTTACTTTGTTTTACCTGCATAGGGGGTGTGTAGTGCCGCCCTCACCTAAAGATCGCTATTCGCATTCTAAATAGCTGCATAACTAGAATAAGTAAGACAAATAGTAAGAGAAAGCTCTGGTTATGTCCAAATATTTAGAGTAGCTGTTGATAACCTACCAAGTTCATGAGGCACTGATGCAGTAGAGTACATATATTATTTCCCCCCCCCCCCCTTCCCAGTCACTTACTGTCCTCGTGCGTCTGCACCAGCTGAGGCGTGCTCCTGGGCCCGTCCCCAGGTGTGGTATAGCAAAGCACTGCAGTCAGGTAGCGCGTGAACTTCCGCAGACTGCCGATGTATCCCAAGTGCCTTGTGCCGTGGAAGTCAGGGGCAACTGTTACCGCGGTAATCATCCCAGGTGACTCCTCCAGCCAGGCCAAGATCTGGGGGAAAGGGAGGCCAATCATGACTCAACGTACCACTCCAGGAAGAGCTTTTAGAGCTGTGATTTTGAAAAAACAGAGGGAGCCCACTGTTATCTCAGGACTACCTTTCTAAAGCAAGAGTAAATCTTACTTTTACAATCCCTACAGAGTCTGTTATAGGCACTTCTAATGAACATAGAAAGTCATAATAATGGACCCTTTGAACTCACATGGAGTCATAGTTTGAAAAACAACATCACCTCTAAATCGAGGAAAAACAAAGTTTCAGACAGCAATTCCATGCTGTCATAGCCATGTTTTATATGGAAATAAAATTGGTCATCACATCTTCCACTTGCCAGCTTTTTAGCTTACCTTGTAGCCCTGATTGATACCATTAATGAATTGCTGAGGGGGCGGATTCCATGTGAACTTCACCGTGGTGGAGTTTACAGCCTTGGCCTCCACATTCTGAGGTGGGGCTGTAGGCACTGAGGACAGAAGAACACAAACGGGAAGTTGTTAGTGTCCGTACAAGGGCCTCGGCTTCTGCTTAGGGAGCCGCTCCGATTTGCACATTAGCAGACGGAGCCACAGTGATTCCGATTAGCCATTCAGGGGGAACCAGAATGTAGGGTGAATGGAACATAACATCCTGCATCTTCCTACTAAGAGCTGCAATATTACTTTGGACAGAATCTCCCAGCAAGGCCAATTCAACATTAGATAAAAAAGAAAAAGTGCATTTTATGATGATCAATTGCTGTGATCAGGCTGTGATGGATTATTGTGATTGGGGGGGGGACTGCAAGGAAAAAAAAATAGATATTTGATTTTAAAAGGGTTCAATCTCACCACATGTTGCTTTGTTCCACAGAGAACGTCAATAATGTCTCTCAGGCTTATAAGCCCATCGAGGCATTCTGCAGGCAGACTCTTATTAAGGGATGCTGATAAGCCCGCGAGATAGGGTGTCATTCTCCATGGACCTCTATTTGATTCTACAAGAGATAAGGCAGCTCTGTCCTGTTCTATTAGAAAGCAGCAGGAGGAAATGGGGGCAGGAGGGGATAACGAAGAGGAGAGGAAGTGAAATAAACAATAACAGTCAAGCGTGGTATTTTAAAAAGCATCTGTGGGAAACATAATAAGGCAAAACGTAAGGTTTGAAGTGCACATCTGATAACGATAATGAACGTGATTAAACACTAGCAAAGGTGGAGATTTCAGGTCCAGAGAGTACAAATCCAGACCAGGATTTTGTTTCAATCAACCAACTGAGCACTCTGTGTCTGTGACTCTTCATGCTCAACTGGTTGGTTGAAACAAAATCCTGGTCTGGATTTGTACTCTCTGGACCTGAAATCTCCACCTCTGAACACTAGATATTAATACTCAGCAAGTTGATAACCTTTGCGGTCCAATCCCTCGTTGGGCAGTAAGTTAATGAGGTCCAAGGGCCACCCTCCTGCAGAGCACTGGGAAGGTGTATACTGCGAGTTATAAATCCACCCCCAACCCCCGGGCCACACAAACCCCAAGGTGATGTGCCCGCACTGTTAATCACCCATAAAGTCTCATTGTTCAGAGACTAAGAATCACACTCTGTCACCAATCCCCCTTATGTTTTAGGTCTCCCTGGGAACAAATTTGTCTTTTTCTCTTCAGGGGGTGATGCTTAAACTGAGGGCAGGCGGTATCACTCGGCACTGAAGCACAAATGGTTCCAAGGAGGTCCAGTGCAGCGGACCTTGAGAACGGCAAGGTGAGGCGTAACAGCACAGGGCTCCCCGGATCCACACCCACATCCCCGATGTGTCTCAATGCATTCAAATAAAACACTATGGAAAAATCTGGATCTTACTGACAGATAACTGACAGACAAAGCACTTGAACTGGAGGTAGGAACAAGACAATTTTAACGGCATCCAAGGGATGAAACGGGCAGGCGGTAAGAAATTTAGGCGCAGCAAAGTGTGAAGCCCCAAAACTCAACGCATTGCTGCTGGTCGCCATCTTTATTGGGCCCTGGGGAAAATTCTGGTGCATACAGCAGCAAGAATGTAGTGCACTAGTGCCCAGAAGAACATGTACTGTACACTCCTGAGCAAAAAAGAAAAGGGCCAACCCCACAGCTGCTAAGTAATCTTTTAGTGGTCTTAACAAGTCATTTGTCAGATTAGAAGGAACTAAAAAAACTGCGCTCTCGAGACCGGTACCGCCATTTCCTCATCACTGATTGCAGTGAACTGTTTGGCAAAAAAGCTGCAAACAGGGAAATTCACTTACCAAAACATCTTCTGGCTATTTGCTGTTGAGACCATTTAAAGCTTAATGTTTTGTAATTTTGGGTTGGGCACTTTATTTTTTATTTTTTGTACAAAGAGCAAAAAACATAGAAAGGGCAAATACAGTACACATAGTGCAAATATGGTGCAAACAAAGGTGCAAGTAAATATGGTGCAAACAAAGTACAGTAAAACCTTGGATTGCGAATAACTTAGTCTGCGAGTCTTTTGCAAGATTAGCAAAATTTTTTAAATAAATTTTAACTTGATAAACAAGCAAGGTCTTGCAATATGAGTATTACGTATACGTTTTGTCTGCCTAGCGTAACGTTATCACAACTGAGCTGATGGTTCCTCTCTCTCTCTCTCGCTGTGGGATTGTGGGTAATCATCTCCCATGCTCGGTCTCAGTCAGTGTCCCTCACTCGTATAGTCAAAATTTAGTAGAAAAGCACCACCCGAATAAGGCTGTAGCAGTGCGAGCGATGAATCTGTTAAGCGACAATGCAATGTCCACATTTCCGCAAAATCGGAAAGGAGGCAAAAGCGGCTGTCATTGGGTAGGTTCCTTGTTAAAATTGCACAAAATGAAAAAGATTCCAGCGAGCCAACAGATACCAGTGATTCTGTTAGTTATAGTGAAAGTCGTCCTACAAAATAACCCTCTTCTTCTCCTCTCTGTCGTCTCCCTCACACCATCCACAATTCTTTTCAAAGGTAAAGTGCAGGTTAATTTGTTTTATGTATTTTTACTTTATATTTTGTATTAATCATCTTCATACGAATATTTTTGGGTTGTGGAACGAATCATCTGAGTTTCCAACTCTTTGGATTACGAGCACGTTTCCGGAACGAATTATGCTCGCAAACCAAAGTACCACTGTACACTGTACACAAATAGAATATCCTGAAAACAGAATGTTGTACTGAACTAAGTTTTGCAATAATACAATCAGATGCACATGTTCTGTACAGAGGGGCTCACCCCTGATCTCATCCCTCCTCTAAAATATTCACATGCCCCTATGATTTACAGGCCTGGTATAAGTGAAAATTAATTTTGAATAGGCAATTAATAGGCAGCTACTGGCAGAACAGAAGGCAAAGTTCATGGTAAGAGTGCAAGGTCCTTGTGGAATAGACTGAACAAGTTCCTGCAGACCCCAGGACCTCCTGGAACTCCCCCCACTCCTCAAGGTCCGCCCACTGTTTTACATTCTTGCATTCTCATAATTTGACATATTTGTGGGGAAATTAATAGCTACGGTCAGAATGGTGCTAGTGATCATTATATTAAAAAGAGTCAACAGGAAGTCCTTACAAAAACAGGCATGCAGGCATGTGTGTGTTATTGCGCTAGAAAGAGAAAATAAGAGATTACTGGACATGAGGAGTAAAAAATAGTGGGGTTCCAGCAATTACTTTGGTATTATTTATGTGTCAGTTAATATTGACAGCTGTACAAGAGTTTTGTGTCAAAAATGGTCTAGAACTGCATTACATGCAGTAAAAATGGCAAAAGGAAAATGCTTGTCATTATAACCTCCAACATCAAAGCAATTCAAACCTTGAAATGAGTCAACAAATAAAATCTATGTTGAGAGAGATCTTTCAATATTCCCCTCAGAAGACACTATGATTAGTTTCTGAGAATGGATACACAGACATGTAATTCACATTCTTAATGTTTTTGGAAGTTTAAATTTTTTCAGTCACTTCTAGCTGACTAAAGCAGGAATTGAAGGTAGACCGCTGTTGGCCTTTTTAATAAAGAAGTCTCCCAGGTTATGAAACCTCAAAGAGAGACAGTGATGGTCCTGGTGTGCTTCTGAACTCTGCTGGTATGTTAGAGGGAGTTACAGGGGTGTGTTCTCTTAAGGAGTAATCTCACAGTTGATAATGGCACCCCAGTGGGTTTTCCAATGGACACTTGCAGCACGGCATTCCTTTAATCTGTCTCATAAAGCCAGCAGTCGGATGCCTCAAATCGCTACTTAATGGGGCTGTTTTTGGGGTCCTTTACGCTGGGGTAGAACCTGAGGGGTTAAGAAATCATTATCACTGAGAATATCCAGCTCAGGATCTCACCCTTCCACCGTAACGAACTGCACCGAAGCTTCATCAAGCTCTTGTATGAAGATTCACACAGATGTTTCTATTCTGCCAGGACTACTGACAATCAAAGGACAGCCATAATACCTCAGGAGTCAAGGTGTGTTTGTATGTAGAGGCTATTTAATATTTAAGATTTTTATAGATATTTATATTTCTCCAAGTAATCATAAGGCTGCCAGTTCTGAGGGGAAATGGCTCACACGGTCTCTGATCATAGATCCCATGCTATCCTCTCCCTCTCTCCCTCCCTCCCTCCCTCCCTCCCAGGACCAGCACACATGAAATCCTCAGAAACGTTGCTCTAGGTGAGTCCAAGGGGTCTATACATTTTTGTTGCAATTGAAAGTTCTCAATATGACTGTTACCATGGTCTTAAGTGTGTTCTGTTGTTATAAAGGTATTCAAAGCTAAATATTGCCTTGTTGAAAGGTTACCACCTTGGAATACAAAGAACACTGGGCCTCACTTACCATTATCAATTTTTTTCTTAAATATGTTATTGAGAAAAATTGTAGGAAGATCCTAAGAAAAGTCTGTCAGATTTGTAATGTGTTCTTAAATGGCATTTTTTGCAAATGTTGACTTATAATTGTGAATCCCATTGTCCTCGTAAATTAAAAGCGTGTGTTACTTGTTCCTAATTAGCACAAGTAAACACCCCACCAATCCCCAAAAAAGGGCATGAGACTGCAGGGCCGTGTGCAAGGGCACAGTGTGGATCTTGCTATTTAATTTACAAGCCCTACTAAATAAGATATTTCTTTTTAAATGGCTAAATGCACTATGGGGATGTTGAAGGGAACTGTACTTCAGAGTTTTAATAAAGGAAAACAGCATTAATAAATAAGATGCAGTCACAGAAATTCAGCACTCCATACCAAAAACATTGTTTGTGTGCTCCTGGTCATGTGCAAACACAGGAATCAAGAAGAAAAGGTGAGAGAAAAGTCAAGAATGTCCAAATAGAGAATCTAAAGACAGTGGAGCACCACACTCCAAACTTAAGGAAAACTTCAGTACAGTGTCACCTATTCGCATTTGTGAGGGTTAGGGGCAGAAGATTCCCTTGAGTGTGCAAATTCACAAATATCACTTGGGCACCACCAACCTCAACCCATAACAGTCTGCCAGCCTGATTGATAGCATAAAAAGTCTATTTATTACCCGGTGTCGGAAATTCTCTTTTTCACATTACAGATCTTGGTCATCAGAGAGATACAGTCAGTCAGTATTCAATGGATTTTGACACTGATCACTTTGTTACAACTCCTACTTTGGAGGTTTTGGAGAATTTATAGGAGGTGATCTTTTTATTGCTGAATGTTATGCAGATAATGCTTGCTAGTTTTAGACTTGTGTGGATTCAATTCTTCACTGACTGCACATTCCATCAATAAGAGCAGAGTGTCAAGATTGAATCAGGAGAGCAATAGCACAGCTGTACATAAAATATTGCAATCCACACAACATAATGGGAGACAGAGTTCAAAAGAGAACAATTTGCTGGCATGCATCTCACTGGTGCATCTGTGAAGAAGACAGCAAGTCTTTGTGGTATATTGAGAGCCACACTATCCAGGGTAATGTTGGCATACCATCATGAAGGACAGTCCACCTCCAATGGGAGTAACAGCAGATGCAAGAGAAAGTTTTCTGAAAGGGATGTATGAGTACTAACCCAAATTGTATCCAAAAAAAACCAAGAAACCCACCTGCCAAGCTCACTGCATAATTAAATTTGCAACTTCACTCTCCTGCTTCCACCAAAACTGTTTGTTGGGAGCTCACCAGGGTTAATATCCATGATCGGGCAGATATAGCTAAATCTTATGGCCAATGTCTAATGTCGGCTTCAGTTGTGCCAGCAGCACAAATCTTGGGCTGTGAACAATGTGAAACACGTATTGTTCTCTGATGAATCCACCTTTACTGTCTCTCCTACATCTGGGAGAGTTATGGAAGAGTTACAGTGTGGAGAAGCCCCAAAAAGGCTTACTACTCGGACTGTTGCATACCTAGAGTGCAGCATGGGGCTGGAACAGTGATGGTTTGGGCTGCAATAGCATGGCATTCCCTATGCCCACTACTTGTTCTAGAGAGGGACATGTCACTGACAAGGACTACTAAACTATTCTGGAGGATTATGTTCACCCAATGGTTCACACACTCTCCCTTGAATGTGGTCCTGCATATCTGGATTATAATGCACCGATACACATAGCAAGACTGAGTGATTTCATTAACATGAAAGTGAAGAGGAACATCTACTTTGGCCTGCACAGTCACCAGATGTGAATATTATTGAGCCATTTTGGGGTGCTTTGGAGAGGTGGGTCCGAAATCGTTTTCCTCGACCAGCATCACATAGTGACCTGGCCCCTATTCTGCAAGAGGAATGGCTCAAAATCCCTTTGGCCACTGTGCAGGACTTGCATCTACCATTCCCAAAACAAATTTATGCTGTATTGGCTGCAAAATGAGGCCCAACACCATTCTAATAAATTATTGTGGTCTAAAACTAGGTGTTTCAGTTTCATTTTCCAACCCCTGCATGTGCCCCCCTCAAAGTGTAATGTGCCATCAAAGTTTAGAATAAACAGTTAAGATGAAAATAATAAATGTATTGGTGACTCCTATGTATGTGCTCTAAAAACAAATTAATTAATTTGTGACAGGCACACACTGACCTCCCTGTAGCGTGTACTCCATCACGGGCCGGCTGAACATGCCAAGGCCTGCTCCAGTGTAGGCCGCTACCTCGATCTCGTACTGCGTCCAGATGATGAGCTCATTGATCAGGCAGTAGTTGATCTCAGGGCTGGTGATGTTCTTCTGCTGGTACTCCCCAGGGAGGCCTGCCAGCCGATACCTTGATTTACAAGAACCCCAGGGGGGGAAATGATTGATTAAGCCAGACCTGTCAGGAGTTGTTTGGTGTTAGAAGTTCGACTGTAATCAACCATGGGCAGGAGACTCCTCACCAATTAAACAATTTTCTTCTTGTACCATGTGATTTCAACATCAATGGAGTTTTACAAGAGGATTTTAACACAGACTGGAATGGAGTGGGGTGGGGTGATTTGTGATCAATAATATCAATGAAGCCAAACCCTCACAAGGAAAAGATGGATTTGGCATGAAGCCATGTCATCTGCCAGAGCAGCCAAACAGTCATCTGTCCTCATCCTCCTTGCTCTTTCAGTAGCATTCGACACGGTCAACCACAAGACTCTCTTTTCCATTTTTATAAGTCTTGGAATTCATGGCTCAGCATGGCAATGGTATGTTTCCTACCTAGAAGGCTGGTCATATCAAGTAACATGGAAGAGATCCACATCTACTTCATGCAGACTCTCCATTTTTGTCCCTCAGGGTTGAGTTCCTGGTCTTCTTCTGTTCTCCCTCTATACTAGATTTCTTGGTGAGGTTATATCCTCACATGGGTTCTCTTATCTCTGCTATGCAGATGACACACTGCATCTATGGCGGACATTACATCATGGATGACAGCTCATCAGCTGAAACTTAACCCCAGCAAAACCGAGCTGCTATTCATCCCAGCTGATCCATCCCCAAACCAGGATCTTGCGATCTCCCAGGACAACTCTACGATTTGTCCTTCAGTCACCGCCTGTAACCTTGGGGTAACCATAGACAATCACCTGTCCTTTTCCTCTCACATTGCTAATCTTTCCAATTCCTGTCGATCAGAAGGGTTCGTCAATTTCTTTCCACACAGGCCACTCAGGTACTTGTTCAACCTTCCCAAGTTCTCCCACAGCACACCATTGTTACACTCCCTGCACTGGCTTCTTGTTGCTGCCCGCATCAGGTTCAAAACACTGATGCTTGCCTATGAAGCCAAAAATGTACCAGCAACCTCCTACCTAAAAGAACTTATCTCACCCCGTACTGCACCACGTTCTCTCTGATCCTCCAGCACTGCTCGACTGGTCCCACCATCTCTCAAGGTGCAAGGAAGACATGCATCAAGACTCTTCTCTGTTTTGGTACCTATGTGGTGGAATTAACTTCCACTAGATGTCCGAACAGCTGAGTTATTGGATGCCTTCATATGAAGACTAAAAACCTACCTTTTTCAGAAGTGCATTGGCACTTCCAGGATTATACTCATTATTATATATATAAAAAAATGTATTACTTGCCAACAGAGTTTTTTAGAGTGAAAGTATTCTCAGCCAGGTTCTATTGAACAGTATTTGAATGTATTCACTGATTATACTTCTAAGCACTTATGTAAGTCCCGGCTAAGGGCGTCTGCTAAATGCTGTAAATGTAAATGTCAGTCTACCTATAAATTACATCTATTTCACATTTATTTAGCAGATACATTTATCTAAACAGATGTACTGGTGAGAAAACAGGGTCAACCAGTCCCTGGAGCAATTGGCATTTAGGGCTTTGCCCAAGGGCCAAGTGGTTAAATCGCTTTGCGAAGCACAAGATTTGAACTGGTATCCTTCTGATCTTGTGTACAGCATTCTTACCTGCAACGCCGCACAGTGCCCGCTGTAGATAAATCTAATATCGCATTGTATACAATTGAGTAGTTATTTTGGCCTGAGTCATTCCTGAAGGCATCCCCCCTCTTATGGACTTCTAACAATAAAACTGTTGAAACCTACCTGAGGACGTAACCCCTGAGCACACCGTTAAGCTGGGCCTCTGGAGGGGGCTGCCACTGCACCATGATGGACTGGTTTGTCCGGCCACTAGCCACAATGTTCTTCGGGGGGGCACTTGGAGCTTCCTCCCGCAGCATCAGCCTGAAAATAAGGGAACAGCTTTAATCACATAGCAGAGAGAACTCTTTAGATTGGGGACCTGAAAGGGTTATTTCATAGACAGGAAGGCCTTGGGGTGGATCTTCCTCCTTGAACTAAGTCACCAGTATCAGCTGACCCAGAGTGTCAGCCTTTGTGCTTCTATCATAAAACAATGGGATTCCGCAACCCACATACTTTCACAGGCCGGAGGCTCTCTCTCAGGTCTCACTAGTGACCCATGGCCTTGAGTGAGGCAAGTAGTTTCCATCCTGTCTTTGGAGCACTCAGGGGCCATTTGTAGCTGAGAATCAGAAATGCAGAGGGGAACCCATGTGACGGATGGGAAGCTTGGTTCCCCATGGCAGCTGAGGCCCCTCTCTGCGGAATCGGGCAAAGAGCAAGGCTGGCAAGAAGCCTCCTGTGGCGATGACAGGACCACAAGACATTACTTAATGGTTGGATGTGTGAGGGGAAGCAGGGAATAATCTCAGTAACATGGGGCATCCCAGTATTTTCCAAAATCCCAGTGGTCCTCATTCAGATGCTAAGATGCCTTCACGCACCCTATGGATATTTGAAAATAAGCTCTGAATTTACAGCGCCTGCCCATTCACGTCATTCCTCATCTCAATGACAACCCATTTAGGCTCCTCCCCTGTCCTGTGCCCTGTGCTTTCCAGCTTATGGATAAGCTATTAATAGACAGACGTATGCCATATACAGTGAAGAGATTTGTTTGTTTCTATGTCCAATGAAAAGACATTATTTCCTTTTTGGAATCTAATAAAGATTCTTCTATACAGGCCCAGCTACCTTCAGCGTTAAATAAAGGACAGAGGGCACAGCCTGGATCCTCAGAAACCTAAATGTGCAGCAGAGAAGCCGTGGATGATGTTTAAAAGTAACTTTCTGGCTGTTAAAGCTTAGGGGCTGGGGCGGGGGGCGGATTATCTGAAAAACATTCAGCCTTCACACCTGGAGGGGTTTGGCCACTAACAAATATCCAATGAGAGAGTTTTGATTATGTTTTAATAGAGCGGGGGAGATAACCCAGTAGAAACAGTCATATATACGACCCAAGTGGCGAGAGCAAGAAGGGGGAAGGTTGTGGGAATTGCTTGGGGAAACTAATTTATACAAATTAAGGTTCTAAATGTTTTATACATATGCATGAAAAAAAGTTAAGAATTAATTAGGGGCATGCAAGAGTTAATCAGTATGGGGTTCAAATTTTAATAAGTTCATCAATATTCGATATTATACATTAAATGGGGTTATGAGAAAATATTGAATATATAAATTGTCAAAATATGGCCTCTTATGACAGTCTCTAAAGTTTTTCTTTTCTAAATTGGCACCCCTGACCTTTCTCCCTTAGTTAAAGTTTGTAATATTGTCATGACGTATCCCAGCAAAGACAAGGCTGCACTCTGATTGGCCAGCATGGGTGGGGCAAGGGGTGCTGGGTGCTGGATTTTTCCATGGGTTTGGGAAGCCTTATACATCACTGCCATTACTGTGCATTTACTGCACCCGGGGGGGTTTATTATTCCTGCACAGGGCACACAACTCTTTCTGCATGCAATCTGGTGATTCAGCTCACCAGTTACTCTGAATCTGACTGGGAAGCTCTCAGTTCCTTTGAAGGATAACCCTCTTTGTCTTGGATTTGGCATAAAATGTTTGCGTAAATGGTCCAAGTGCCCTGTGATGGGTTAGGGCCCCATCACAGCTTATTTTTTGCCATGAGTCCGTAGCTTCTGGTATCTGCTCAGGACCCCTATGACCCTGAACAGGACAAGTGGGTATGGAAGATGGATGGAGGGAATATTTGATATACTCTTGTATTATATAAAATAATTAACATGCGTCTTGGATCATATAGTTTATTTCTAGATGTATAATAAATGCAAAAACTTTTTTTTGTTAGGCTTTCTGAAAATGCTATTTTGCATTTGGCCATGTAGAGGCACTTGGCTTAATACAGCCCTCCAGAGTATGTAGTTGGAAAAGCAATTATAAGTGTTTAAATCGTTGGCAGAAAGAGCACAAGGCTCATTAACATGCAGCTCACCCATAAATTGGTGTTTCTCCAGCCGAAGTGTGTATCTGGCCTAAGAGGGTGTAAACTTAAGTCAATGGTAGAATAGACATTTGTGGAAAAAGCATGCAGTTACATGCTTTTTTGACTTACACACGTGGAAGAATATGGCCCAAAGTGAGGTAGGTGCTGTCAGAATGACAATAATGTATTTCCCAGGCAGCCCCATCACCCCCTCCAGCCCGTCTAATCCATTCTCATCCCACACCCCCAACCTCTATTATCTCTAACACCCCTACACTCTCTCCCCACCTCTCCAGAACGATCTTTTTTAAAAGCACAACTCTGAGTGACTTGATGTAATCAAGTTCACCAAGTCTGCATCTGTGGCTGTCCTTTCATGTGCCACCATTAGGTGACACTGCTTCAGTTTTGGTGCGATTTGCCTCAAAATGAAATAGGTCCCAGATCACCTTACATGATGCTCCTGTGAAGTTTCAAAGAGATGTATCAAATACTTTTAGAGTTACCATGTTCAAAAGTTCACGTGTCTTCTGAAGATGTCCTTTTGTTCCTTTGCTGCCACCTAGAACTGCCTCTTCAATTTTGGTGCAATTTGTCTCTAAATAGAATCAGATGTAGCTCTTCATCTATATAATGTTTTTCTGAAGTGCTAAGAAGCTGTCTGGGACAGCTTTTCTCTTTGCTATCACTATAATGTGCTGATTGAATTTTGGTGCAATTTGTATCAAACTTTGACCACTTTCAGATCATCACCCATACAATGTGTCTGCATTTAAAAAAAAATCCATCAGATATTTTTAAAGTTACTTTGTTCACAAGATCAAGTGTTTTATGCACCTGCCCTGTCCTTGTTTTGCTGTCACATAGCTCTGTTGCTTCAATTTTGGGGAAATTGGTCTTCAGGTGTAGATGTTTTTCTATATAATATTTGGGGAATTCAGTGACAGACAGGATCATATTTCCTTGGAAGGAGGTGACAGCCCATCACGTTGTGTTTTAAAGGACATCTCTGATGTAACTGCAGCATCAGACACCTAGACCTGTACCTAGCTCATGTGGAAGTTCATGAAAACAGGGTACAGGATGGCCGTGAATCTGTGCCAAGATCTGGAGGTAAATGAGGGCTCATGCGCACCAGGCAGTACAACTCTGGAGCCGCTCTCCTTTTGGGAAATAGAACAGGAAAATGTCATGGGTCTTACGAATCAGCCAGGTCAACTTTGGCAGGACAGCGTACCTGTTTGTTTCGCTGCTGTACTGGCCCCTCCCCACCTGGTTGACAGCACACACCCTGAACTGGTAAGTCCGTGCCGGAGTCAATCCTGTTACCAGCACTTCTGTCAGGGCAGAGTCCACTTCGGGGAGGTAAATCTTCCATGGAGAGTCTAATGTTTAGGTAAAAGGCACTTGTAATCAGTAGCTAAATCGGTTACTATAACAAGAAAATATTATATACATTCATTTATTTAGCAGGCACTTTCATCAAAAGTGATGTACAATACAAAAGGACAGGTCATCCACTCCCTGGAGCAACTGGGGTTAATGGCTTTGCTCAAGGAACCATGGGATTTGGGCCAGGGAAGTTCTGATTATGAGGACAAAGCCTTAACCAGCAAAGCCACACACCACCCACACAGAAGGTTATACATTTTGGTATGTTACTATTTTAAGATGTTTAAATCTCTGTGGTTCTTATCATGTCACACATTTTATTGCTAATTCTGTAATTATATATTATTATGCATATTTGCCTCTTCTTAAAAGAGAGCCACAATAATTTGTCTATAATTGAATAAATATATACACTTCTCTGAAGAATAAGTGTATTTCACTGCAATCGGCTTAAAATTTAAAACAGTGTTAATCCGAAGTGGTAATCCATTTGCCATCTTGACCATTTAATCAGTCTGCATCTCACTGCAAATTCATTCCCCCAAATGCATGACAATGGGAGGCATTGTTAATTGTTAGCCAGTTCATAAGTGTCTGAGCAGTGGTGCACAGATCAGCGTATGTCCCCGAGCGCTGAATACTGCGTCGAAGGCTTCACAGGTCCAAATGCATGATAAAACAGACCCTGGAGCACTTCATGTGATTCATTTTGTCAAATGAAAATACCATAGTCCAAGGAAAAAAATATTACATACCTTACACACTCTCCCCACCTCTTTAAAAAAATGTGACAAAATGAAATTATCCCACCATAAATTCTGCTCAGATCCCCACGATACATTTTGTTAACTAGCTACCAGACTGCTACAGATAAAATATGTCAAATGGGGAGGCCAGCAGCCAAAAATCGATATAAATTTTATTATGGAATGTTCAAAAAAATCATCTCACACCTAACAGTTTTAGAATTACTGACCTGTACAATGTTCCTGGGATTTTCCCTTTGTCAATACAGTTACAACTTTGAGGTGATTTTGAATCCGATCAAGAGTACATTTTCATATTTCAGGTTGATATTAATCCATATAATGTTTTTGTGAAGTGGTAATAAGATCATCATCATCAAAGACCAAATAGAGTAAATAATAACAAACAGACTGATCCTTTTCACAAGGATAAGCCTCTAATCATCTCATCCTTCCCTTTGATGTCACTATGTGCAATTGCTTCAGTTGTAGTGTGATTTCTCTGTTATTGAACAGGTCCAGATCTTCACATATACAATGTGTCTGCAACGTTTGGAATTGATCGGGCAAATGACTTTTGAGTTCTCATGCGGAGAAGTTCTCGTATCTGAGCTGCCCTTCTCTTTGCTATCACTAACGGCACTGCTTCAGTTCTGGGTGTCTCAAAATTTTAATAGATCCAGATCTTCAACTTCACAACATGTCTGCAAAGGTTGAAAAGATGCTTTTTCAGTTATCATACTAATGGGCTCAAATGTTGGAAACTACCCTTTCTTTGGTATGACTATGTAACACTGCTTCAATTTTTGGGCGATCTGTCTCAAAAGTTGATTACTTCCATTTTGTCACCCTTACAATGTGTGCGCAATGTTTGAAAAATATGCGTAGAATTCTAGAGTTATGTGTTCACAAGACCTTCTACAGCTTCATTTCCTTCCTTTACAGAGAAGATACAAAGATACAGATTAGCATGGCCCCTACACGAGGATGACACACAAATTCCATATCTGGTGGCAGCATGTGGCTCAGCTGGCTAAGCCTGTGTGCCTGTAATCAGAAGGTCACCAGTTTAAGCCCAGCCTCAGCATATCTGTGGTTCCTGGGGCAAGGTCCTTAACCCCCCCAGCTCCCTGGGTGCCCCAACAGGTGGCTGTCCTTCACAGACAGCTTACTCTACAAAGAGTAAGTTGGGGGAGGCATAAAGAGAATTTCCCCATGGAATCAGTAAAGTATTTCTTATTATAATTATTTTTTCCACAAATCACCGCTGTTTAATTTTTGGTGCAATCTGTCTGAAAATAAAATTATCTGTAGATATTGATCCATATAATGTTCACATTCACAAGGTCAAATGTTCTTTGCTTTCACCCTTCGCTTTGATGTCATTAGGCAGTAGCGCTTCAGTTTTGGGGTGATATGTCTCAAAATGGTTTAGTTTCTCACCCATAAAATGCCTCTGCAAAGTTTGAAAAAGATCCGTCAAACAGTTTTCATACCAGAGTGTCTGAGGCAGACCAGGGCTAGAAACCATATGTATTTCCCAAAGTCCGGGAAGTACAATTAGTGATCCAATGACGGCAAGAGATTTCTCAATGATCTCAATGTTTTGATTAAGGGAGCTGGTGTGATGGCTATTTAATGTTCATCTAGAACAGAGTAGTAATGATTAATTGTGCGCAGGACTACAGGCATTGTAGGCGATCGCAATACACACCACCATGCATCATCTCTCACCCAGCTTCTACGCGGAAGGCAGAGACATTGATAGCTAATGTACTCTTATCAGTAAAAATACTGAGAGAAGTGCATTCAGAGGTTATTGCAATAAAGATTTAATTCACAAGATGCTGTCAAAGACTAATTTTCATGCCCAGCCGAATCAGGAATACATTCACTCAACATTTCAATCACCAGCCGTGAAGATTGTAAGGGCGGGTTTCTCAGAACATGCCCCTTCATGAGTCTTATTTCCCAGACGCTTTCATGTTCTGGTATGCAGAGGAAGGAGATGGGGAAAAACTGAGATTCAAAATCAACTCTTTTCAAAATATACTTTAAAGGCTTTAAACATTATTTCTGCCTCTTTTTTAATACGACCAGATAAAGTGAGATTCAGGCTTGAGGGAAACCCAAAGTCAAAGCAGAAATATACGGATATACATCGCACCAGCCTGCAGTAGTTCATCAATATTATAAACTCTTGCAGAGGCATGTACACTTCTTATTGGCTGGGTAATTGTTTGAACATGCATCATGAAAGCAACAGTTTTTCTTAAAACTTATAGGTTATCTTAAAACTAAAATTAATGTCCAATATCCTTAACGGCCAGGTCTTCAGGCTTGTCATCCTCTGTGACATCTTTATTTTTGCTCAATTTCCAAAACCAAGTAACTTTCACTTTATGCAATCAACTGCCAAGCAATACCAAAGTTAAGGTGAGAGATTAATAGTGCGTGAACTAATAGTGCCTGACCCACTGTTCTTGATTTGTAGTTCTATGTTTTTCAAAGAAATACAGAATATCCATCATGTCATATTCATCTCGCTGTGGAAAGCAGGATACTTACTGTTTTCGGAGAGCTCAACCTCATAATGCAGTAGTGGGCTGTTCCCGTCGAATGGGCGGACCCAGCTCAGGTCCACGGCCCGGCTGTCTGAGGCATTCAGCCTGGCCTGGAGATTCCTTGGTGCGTGGGGCAGCTCTCTGGGGGATAGAAGTGCAAGAGGAAAATGTTGGCAGGGTGAGGTTGTCAGATCCATCTGATGTTCGTCTGGCACCTGGGGTAGAGTAGCTAGGCTCTCTGAACAGGCCACCCCCCTCCATGGCGTTTCCCCCGTCAAGGATTCCTGGGGGAATCCCACCTGCACATGCAGCCTCACTCTCATGGCCTACTTGGAGCAAACACTGACAGGTGTTCATCTATATGTTTCTGATTGGTTTACTAGCCATCTCTGGAAAGATTAACATCGCAAACATTGCCTTATTTCAGTGATTACTTCATAAAGCAATAAATTATTTCTCATCTCAAACTAAAAACGTTTCAGGGAGCTCTACTCCCCCCCACACACATACACCTGGTTTTCTCCAATCAGACGTGCAGTGACATTTTATGAGGCCATCTCATTAAGATGGGCCACTCTGAGGCCTTCTTATGGGTTGGGTGGGGGGTGGACAACTTCTGGGAGAAACACTGAACTCAATCAGCAATGCAGGCTGTACTTTTATGGAGGAAATCCCCCCCTGCCCACCACACTTCAGTGTTGTCAAGTCAGCTGCAGTAATATCAATTACATTCTTAAGAATCCAGATCCTGAGCACACATAGGCTGCTAATTACCTCATCTACAAAAACAGTGAAAGTTCCTATTTCTAATTGTGACATAGATTTCTTATATTTCATTGCTGTTTTAATGATAACACGTCCTAATTTGCTGTATAAATGTAATAAATAATAGCAATATGGCTTCTACCTGGTAAGAGCTCAGTATTATAATTTAATTAAAATCTCTCCTGTGGTAATTATAAATAAGGGAATAAGCAATAGAACTATAATTAGCAATAATTTGTGAGGATGTGGGTATGACATGGATCTCAGAGACAGAGGAGAGGAGAGTAATAATAATTGACACTTTTATTAATCCCCATGGGGAAATACTTTTTACGCCTCCCTCAACTTGCTCTTTGTAGAGCAAGCTGTCCGTGAAGGGCAGCCACCTGTAGCAGCACCCAGGGAGCTTGGAGGTTGAGGATTTTGCTCAAGGACCCACAGACATGCTAAGGCTGGGCTTGAACCAGCAACCTTGTGATTACAGGCACACAGCTTAGCCCACTGAGCCACACGCATTTCATTTAGCTAAGACTGAGCAGAGTATCACCACAAGCAGTGAAGTCGAATGACTGTACGCATCCTCTCACTGAAATGTACAGTACCAAAATCCACTCATGCTTAACGCTTATGGTTAGAGCCTGGACAGCACCTGGGATCGTCTCTGCTCTCACAGTGTGTGGAGTTTCTATGTTCTTCCTGTGTCATCATGGGGTTTCCTCCAGGTAATGCAATATTCAATTTTTTTCCAAAATCCTGCAGCCCTAGTATATTACACAATATATTTTTTATTCCTTGTCATGCCATTATGATCTTGTTGTATCTTTTCTTCCTTATTATTACTTTTTTGGCAACATTTTACTTTCATTTAAGCAATAATGTTATTGCTTTCATACAACAGTTAATCAAGAAACATTTAGAAGCAAACAGTAATAAGATACAGCATATTTTGTTTATTTATTTAACATTTACAGGCCTCCACAATAAATAAATAAATAAAAATAATTCCCGTAACGTCAGTGAAAGTGACAGCCAAACCTTCCAGATTCCTGGAAAATTCAATCAATAACTGATATAGCTTTGTCTAAAATCATCAGTGGCCACGGTGAAACAGCAAGCCACCTAATTAGCGGAAATAGCTTAACATTGTAGATTAAAACTTTACAGCTCGTCTGATAAATAAAATATTCTAGTGCTCCAGTGACTAAGAGATCATGTTCAGTTTTTATTAGACTTTTTTATTGTGTGAGCCTTAAAAGGACAGGGGTAAAACAGCGAGTGAGAGTAAACTCACTTACACATAGACCGGGTGCCTTTACAAAGACAAAAGTGGATACGAGCAATTGAGACATACTTTGAAGACATACTTTGAAATTTTTTTTTCGGTTCAGTATCTTATAAAAACTTATAAAACTTATAAAATCCGAAACAGGTTAGGTTGGAACTAACTGATGCATTAAATGCATTATAGATACCTTCATAATGCATTAAATGCATTAATAAAGTATTATAAACATGGCTATAACTAAAAAGGCATAACACATTATAGTCATATCTATTATGCATTTTTACTGGTATTTGGAAGTAAATGGAAAAGGAAAAAATCAAAAGTATCATATCAAAATTACAGTAGCTGGTACGGTGGAAAAGCAACCTAAGTATATAGGAATGAAGACCTGCTTTTCTCATTACTTGTTTTCTATTACAATGCACTGGTGTGGTCAGGCATGGTATATTTCATTGTAAGGGTATATTTCATCACAGGTACAAACCTCTAGATAGATCAGTAAGTTAATGAACAGAAAGATGAATTTTCAAAAGGTTAACTCTAATAATTTCTTTCTCTGAGGACTGTCATGGTTGGAAGTTGGGGGGGGGGGAGGTTAACCAAGACTCCTTTGCTAGCTGACAAACATGGATCTTTACAACAAAGCCACAGACAAAAATCAAATACCTCAGTTCTCGAACTCATTAGAACCTGAATTTTTTAAAAGTCAAACCAACCAGTTCGAAAAAAAAATGACCTAGAACTCGATCTGAATCTCAGAAGTTGAACTGTGAAGGCCGACCTAAGATAACTTGTATGCGCGGGAAAATGAGTCACGCGGCACGTCTCTCAGCGGAAACAAAGGGTAATGCTTCAGTCTCAGCCTCGCGTTAGCTGTGATAGCATTGTTTGTTGGTGATAGTGCTTCTTTTATTGAAAATACTGTATCAGGTAATACACTGTACTTCATATCATTTTGGTAGTCATTGCTCACCAGAAAGTTACACTATAGTTGTACAAATGTTACAACCTAAAAGTCTGTGATTTACAAACAAATTAACGAATACAGAGTAATAACAAAAATAAACAATGGACCGCATGGTCTAGTGTTGGTGCAGTGTTGGGGCATGGTTTGGGGTTGTCACGATCTGCTGAGCCGGGACCGGGGAAGCAGGGACAGGACTCAAGCAATTGGGAAACACAGGGTTTAATTGAGAAGAGGCAGAACAACACAATGACGTTACAATGACCGGACTGGGGAAAGAAACTGAAACGCGGACTAAATGCAAAGGACTAATTACAACAACCAGAAACAGCTGATCACAAGGGGATTCTACACAAGGTTAACGAGGGGGCGTGGCACATGGTAGGAGTGGACAATCGGGGCAGGACAGGGGTAGTGCTGGGGTACATTCTTTATCGTTTTGGAAGCCATTAAGAAAAAAATGCTCTTCTTGTTTTACCCTGTTCATTTTATGTTTAAATGCTAAAAAAACAACAACTATATTTTGGTGTAGTTTTTTGGGGCTGTGAACCAATTAATTGGTTTTCCATTATTTCTTATGGGAAAAATTCCATCAGAACTTGAACTTTTTAGTTCTGAACGGATTAAGTTCGAGTTCTGAGGTACCACTGTATTTAAAAAGTGCAGAAACTGCGCAGCTGCATCTTTCAGTGGGAGAGTTTGTGCAACGTTAGAGCAACAAACATGGATGACACAGCAGACAAATACCACTGGGGGTAACCAGGAGTGGAGGAGGAGACCAGTGTCCTAATTATGGGGGGATGTGATTCCTCCCAAAAAGAAAGAGCAATGAAGAAGATGTTGAACAAGAGCAACCAACAGCCCCTCAGCACTTAATCAGAGTTACGTCAATGGAACTAAAATATTCTAGGAGAGGACTCGCCAAACACAACTGCCTGGGACAGCTGCAGGCCCCCTGAGATACCACACTGCTGGATGGGCGACTCCATGATGAGAAAAGATCAACTGAACCGGATTTAAAAGCACTTTTGGGTCAGATATACAGAAAAAGGCACATGAGAACTGAATGACTCTGAATAAAATGAGGAAATGAGGAGACATCAAGTGCACTCACATGACTTCGAGCCGTGCAGACTGGGAGTCGTTGCCGGCCTGGGACAGGACAGTGCAGGTGTAGTCCCCAATGTCCCCGGACCAGGTCTGGCTGATGTGAAGAGAGCCATCGACCAGGCTGATGCGTCCACGGGGGTGGATGATCTCGCCTTCATCTTTCAGCCACACATACCTGCAAAGGCACGAGATGCCCCCCCCCAAGGTATCTGACTTCTGTGGAGTGAGCCAGTGGACTAAAGCTTTATACAATATCTGGGAGTCTCGATGCAGCAGATCAGGTTAATTATCTCGAAAAAGGGTATAACAGTGAGCCTTCCTGAAACCCAAACCGGAACAATCAGGTAGCAAGTGCATGGCGTTAACCACCTCGAACAGTCATACCACCTGGTGACCCTTCTCCAGCAACACTGTGAGGCAAACAGTCCCAAGTGACGCGAACACTGGGATAACCCACCTTACTGTCACTCTGGGGTCATGGGTCGCACGGCAATCAAGAGTGGCTGTCGTCCCCTTGATAACTCGCTGTTCCATGGGCGGCTGGGAGATGGTGGTTCGGCCTGGAAAAATCAGGGGTGCTGGTTAGCTGGACAGTAAATAGTCTCCCAATAGATCTGTCACGTTTGCATGTAAGATCTCTAATATCCTTCACTTGGGCTTGGGATCAAAGAGCACGGCAAGCAACAAAACACACATTCATCTGGAAAGGGGGGCTGTTACAATGCCAGCATTGTGTTTCCTGGACAGCCACATCACCTGCTCCACCCATCTAATCCATAGTCCTCATACACTCACTAACATCTGCAATTTATAGAAGTACTGGATCGATCAACTGGAAGTGTGAATGCCAATAAAGGTTTTTTTACCCGAGTCCTAGTTGTGACATGTAACTCTGAAACTACATCTATTCGTTTATTGTACATTCCACTTACATGCCAATTTCCCCACCAGTTAAGTGTTCACCTGCATTATTTCTTTGTATGTCTTAATGTCCATGTCTTAAAATGCCATTTATATCACAATTTTTTTGTCTAAATATTTATATTCTACTTCTTTCTCATTTGCAATATGATGAACATTTTCCGTATCATAGCATTAAGTACCGTAACAGATATGGGAATGATACACACAGAGTCCTGGAGGGGCCATAGACAGTTTTATTAATTTTTTTTTCCATGCACACACAATATATATATATTTAATTAATTTACACGCAACTGGCACTTTTATCCCAAGAGTCTTAACATAGAAGTGAGGCCCACAACTGACCTGCGATGTGAGCCTGTGAGCTCTGTGTTGCTAGCACAATGCTCTATCAGTTGATCTAAAGGAGTGCTATACAGTTTATACTAAATCGTTTAGTTTAATTTGCCTGCAACATAAGAAATCGAGCTTATGATCACACAGACAGAAAATACAAGACAAATTGTATGCCATATGCTACAATTAACAAAAACAGCATTTCCAAATCTTTTGGTTCTTTCACTTAGAGTCTACAAATTCCTCACCCACAAATCAACAAGGAATACTGGCAAACAAGTCTCCTTATCTTGCGCTGATGTTTTGAAAGGGTAAATGTCGTTAATCACTCTCCTTTTCAGAGGTACTCACAAACACACACACACACACAATTCAGAGCAAAGTGTGGGGTCTGAGTGCACAATAAAGTCATTTATCTGGCGACCATGAAGCACTTTGTGTGGCATGTCTTAATGCAATTAGGTTCACCAGATCTGCGCCTGTTCTTTCATGTGTCACCACTGATTTCAATATGACTGAGTGACATAATTAAATTCCCCCACGGTAAATTTAGCTGAGCGGGGGTGGAGGGAGGCTGCAAAAAGATTGACGGAATATGCTTTGATGGCAGATGCCTGCATTCAAAAGATGGTGCTGCAGCTCGTGTTTTCTGCCCTCTATGGTGAAGTTACAATTTTGGGTTGATTTTCTAAATTTTCATCCTTATAATGTTTTTGTGAAGTGGTAATAAGATTAATCAAATATCAAATAGAGTAATAATAATAATAGAAAGAGTTATCCTGTGCACAAGGTTAAGCCTCATATTTCATTCATCCCTCTCTTTGTTCTTACTAATGCCACTGCTTCAATTTCGGTACAATTTCCCTCAAACTTTTAACAGGTCAAAATATTCACCCATACAATGTACCTTCTTCGTAAAAGATTAGACAAATTATTTTTGGGTTATCATGCTGACAAGCTGAAGTTTCTGAGCTGCCTTATTCTTTGCCATGACTATGCAGCACTGCTTCAGTTTAGATACTTTTAAGTTTAGGTCCAGATCATGTTGGAAAAGGCTGAAAAAAATCTGTCAAATGTGTTATCTCACTAACAGGATCAAATAACTGAGATTCCCCTTGTTTTTGCTATTACTATGCAGCACTGTTTCAGTTTTGGGTGATCAGTATCAAAATTTGCTCACTTCCCACTTGTCACCTTTACAATGTGACTGCAAAGTTTGAAAAAGATCTGTCCTAAAATGTAATCATTTCTAGTTCAGTATCCATAAATGCTTCTGAAAAGCCCCTGGCAAGTACAGAACTTTGAGTGACTTACACATGAACGTGGTTTGTTCAGCTTACATACTGAGAAAACTGAGAACAGCCCTGAAACATCTGCAACTGGCTTCCAACTGCATCACTGTGATAGACCTGTTACATGAGAATTTGTTCTTTGGGGGATGGAAAAGGCTGAATAGAGCTTACTCCACACGGTGAGGGTGGCGCTGCTGTGGATGGCGCCCTCGGAGTTGGTGGCGTAGCAGGTGTAGTTTCCCGTGTCCTGGGGAAGGACAGGCTCCACCTGCAGCCCCCCGGACTCCAGCAGTGTGAAACGTGGGATCTGGACTGAACCACTGGCCAGGATCTGTGCATCTGTAATAGTATAAACAAAACAAACGCAGCACTTAGAAATAATGACTGAATTTCCGTGGCACTGATGAAGGACTTACTTTACTGTTGCTGATAAGCTGGAAGAAGAATCTGACGTTTTAATATGTCCTTTCAAAGTGGAAACCTCAGGCGAACCTTTACTATGCAATCATTGGTGACACCCTAGGCCGAGTCAGCCGACACACACCCTGAGCCTTAGACATGGTCCTAAAAAACTGCATAAAGAGAAAGAGGTCTCAGGTCACGGGCCAGGGGAATTGTGGGTACCTCTCTTCCAGGTGATGGCAGGTTTGGGGGCCCCTGAGACCTGGCAGGTGAAGGTGGCAGCTGTCCCATTCGTCACGGTGATGTCAGTGGGGGCTCTGGTGAAGGAGGGGGCCATACCTGCAGAGTGAGACACAGCAGCAGTCTGCTTGGCTCAGGATGATAAAACCACAGGAAGTGGACTACAGTGGTGATCCCCTCTCCTTCCTACATTTATTTATTTAGCAGGAGTGTTTGTCCAAAGGGACACACATCTGAAGAAAGTTTGGGGTCAGAATGCAGGGTCAGTGTCGCTGGAGCAGCTGGGATTCAGGGCGGAATTGATTGCCCAGGGCACCTTTAAAGCAGGCTTCCATGAGAGACGGAAAGCAAATAACAAAAAGCTAAGCACACTCCCAGGACGGCAAGCTGCGAGCCGTTTAAACTGCAACATCAAGACAACAAATTGGCACGTGAAAGGACGACCTTTTAGAAATGTGGGATGTGCATCTTAAGACCACCTGGCCAATTTGATTTGCCTCCGGCTAATAATGTGAATGAAGGTGGGACAGCACGTCAAATCACACCAAAGGCCGTGTCTGCTCAGACTTCGGCAGCGGCGGCGGATGGGGACCCGGGGCAGACTGCTGCTGTGCCTGATTTTTTCATTTAAAGGTAGGAAGAATATTTTAAAATTCTTTAAAAAAAAAGGAGAGCAGCTGGACGAGGCTCACTGTTTTAATTACGGTGGCCAGTAAACGGTCTGGGCCTCAGGATCGATGCGTCACCAAGACCACAGCTGCAAGCCAGGGCTGCTGATACGAGATTCCCTAAGCTCACAAAATAACCACAGGCTAAACCATTTCTTCTCTTTACATCAGGTCAGTGTTCTGTGCCCATTGAAACCAACATCTTCCTGCAAACGAACAGGAGCCACAATGGGAAATGGTCCCTTTCCAGAAAGGCAAGGTCCCCGGTGCCTGGATGCTTATTAGACTGCATCAGTTTTGCTCTTGGCAGGAAATGACCTGACAAACTTTTGCTCCTACTCCTTCCTTACCAATTAGGCAGCTCATTGAAAGTCAAAGAAAAACAGGCAACTCCACAAAGCACTGTGCGCACTTAGTGGATGTAAGTTCCAAGCCAACCATGCTGGAGTGTCTATAAAGAGCACTAATTAAACACTAGGCTAATTTGCTTTATTGCTTTAGGCTTTGTCATCCAGTTTCGAAGACTACTGTGTTGTAATATGCCACATTACATAAATGACACTCTCAACATGCAACATTCAAACCACTTCAGTCCTCTTTTACATAAGGTGGGTTGATTGGGACCATGGAGGTTTGCATAAAACAACCTCTGAGGCAAATATAGCCAAAATCAGAATCTTCTGGATAGTACTAGAACTATAAAGAACAAGAGATGCACCAGAATTCACTGTGCAGACCCCCATGAAACACTGTCAGGAACTGGATCAACACCATTAGCTTCCTTTCATAACTATCCACAGCCTGGACCTTTGCCCTTTCCGTCACTTTGTCACAGAGGTGATCTGCTCTTACTGGCCACGTCCAGGTAGGCGTGGGCTTGGACCTCCCCAGCATTGTTCCTGGCGAAACACTGGAAGATTCCAGCGTCATTGGGATGCACCCTCCGAACTTGCAGGCCCATGGCAGATATGATGCGGTAACGAGGATTGTTCAGCTTGCTGAGTGGCACTGAGTCCTTGTACCATTCCATCTTGGGTGTGGGCACTCCTGAAAGAAAGGAAGGCGTGTGTGTGTACAGGGTAGCCAATGAACAAGAACTCAACAACCTAAAGTAGACAAAACAGGAAAATAAATCAATCACTGAACACAGCATAAACAATAGGGTGAATCATTTGACATGCATTTTTTAAAATCCTTTTTAATCCTTTAATAAATTGATGGCATGCCTAACATTATTACATAAAACCTGTTCAATTTGAATATAATTTGAATATATTTAAATATCATACAGTTTTGACATTTCTGTATCTCAAAGTCCAACAATATCAGGTGTTGCGACCATCCAAACAAATAAGCAGAGAAAGAAAACTAATAGCATTGGTATATAAGTAATTTAAAAATTAAATTCATTAGTTAGGCAAAATATTTGTATGAATGGTCTAAATTCACGAAAAGCTTTCAAAACACTGGTTTTAAAATCATTAAGATAATTGAAAAACATACATCAGGTGGCACTACTAGGAAAAAGTGTTTTTTTATTTAAAAGTAATTTCAGACTGCACTGGATGTTACATCATAGATAAGATTCGGAGTGACATTCATGATGCAATGAAAAGGTAGATCTAACTCAAATATCGACAAAAACGACCATTTTCATCTCACGGTTAGGCTTGCATAGTTTTTCTGCCAGGTGGTACAACACATGGAAAACCATGAAAATATTGTAATACGGTAAAACTCATTATTTGTTTTTAAAATTGCATTTCTAATCTTGATATCAAGGACAGATGTTTGTGCAGGTGTCCAAGCAGTCTGTTTAATTTGAAAGGACCTTAAAAAGGCAGGTGGTACAACTGCATTTGGGAAACCCTTTCTTTTACAGTCTCCTAATTACTAAGTAATTATCTGGTAAACATATGGTAAATTATAGTTTATTATTGGTTACAGTTGAAATAATAAGATAAATCTCCACTATCACTCAGCTACTGTGTACTTGTGACCAGACAAGGTTGGTAATAACTCAGATATAATTGTGTACTTTCTAGGAAATTCGGCAACCAATTCTTAGAAACACCTCCTTTACTCCATCCCCCCATCCATTTTCTGTAACTTCTTGTCCTATTCAGGGTTGGGAGGGGGTGGGGTATGGGGTCTGGAGGCTGCCCCGAAGGCTATGGGTGCAAGGCAGGGGATAGCAGTGGGGCAGTGGTGGTCTAATAATCAGGGAAGTGTGCTTGTGATTGGAAGGTTGCTGGTTTGAATCCCTGACCAGTAAAGTAGCATACTGTATAGGCTAAATTCAGAGGACACATTTTGTTGTTGTGTGTCAACAATAACAACAATTCACTTTCATTTCACTTAACCCAGGATGGGGCACCAACACATACACACACACAGAGAAACCTATGGATAATTTGGTAACTACAATTAACCTCAGTATGTTTTTGGGCTGGGGGGGGAGGCTGGGGTACCTGGAGGAAACCCCAAGGGGAGAGCATATTCACTGCACCCCCTTGTTGCCCCCACTCATCGATGTAAATTAGCATTATAGTTATCCAAGGTTTATTTTGGCAGCAGCCCAAGTTAGAAATTAGGTTAATACTTTCCAATACATTACTTTTCCTTAAATAGTTATTGTTCATGGATACATCCATTTGTAAAGGGTTTATTATATTTTATGATATACTTACCTGGTAACAACCCCCGCAGGAAACGTTTTCACTGAGTGTCATGGTGCATCTTCTTAAATATTGGGTACGTTCTTGTAGATGTATTCAGAATTTACTAAGTGTCGTATAATTTGTAACAGATCATTGCCTTTTCCATGTAATCAACACAGAGATGATTACATGACGCTCATTATGGACACAGGTACACCCTCAAGGTGTACTAAAGAATGTTTATTCTGCAACATTAGTAAGTAAAAGAAGAAAATTTACTCAGTAAGTCAGGGTTGGGGCCATTCCGGAATGCATTGATCAATTCCAGTCCAAATCAGGAAATGGAACTGGAGCTAGGATTGGAAAAAAAACTACGGGGAACAGAATTGGAGTTGAATTTGAATTTCAGGGAGATTTAAGTTTCAACTCCAGTTCCATTTCCTGATTCGGACTGGAATTGATCAATGCATTCCAGAATGGCCCCAACCCTGCAGTAAGTATGCTGAAACTGGACTATAAAAGGAAGCCTTGTTTGTTTCTATGGTATTACCAGAGTTAGAGAGTAGTAGTGAAGATTTTTCTGTGGTAATTAACCAACAATATAATATAATGAATCATGTATTTACCAAATAATTATTGAATACAGTGGCACGTCCACTTTAGAATAAGTCCAACCTGGTATACTTCCTGTTTGGACATGAAAAATTTTGCTTGGTATACGACCTTTGTTTGGAAAATGACTCACGTGCTAGAACTTGTATGGGTCAAAATGAGTCAGGTGTTACCCTTGTTTATCTCTCAAGACAAAGCCACGACTGCCCACGAGTGTCAGTATGCCAGTTGCTACCATTCAGTGAACAACCTGCGCTATAACTCTCTTTTCATTTATACTCACCTAAAGGATTATTAGGAACACCATACTAATACGGTGTTTGACCCCCTTTCGCCTTCAGAACTGCCTTAATTCTACGTGGCATTGATTCAACAAGGTGCTGAAAGCATTCTTTAGAAATGTTGGCCCATATTGATAGGATAGCATCTTGCAGTTGATGGAGATTTGTGGGATGCACATCCAGGGCACGAAGCTCCCGTTCCACCACATCCCAAAGATGCTCTATTGGGTTGAGATCTGGTGACTGTGGGGGCCATTTTAGTACAGTGAACTCATTGTCATGTTCAAGAAACCAATTTGAAATGATTCGAGCTTTGTGACATGGTGCATTATCCTGCTGGAAGTAGCCATCAGAGGATGGGTACATGGTGGTCATAAAGGGATGGACATGGTCAGAAACAATGCTCAGGTAGGCCCAAACGATGCCCAATTGGCACTAAGGGGCCTAAAGTGTGCCAAGAAAACATCCCCCACACCATTACACCACCACCACCAGCCTGCACAGTGGTAACAAGGCATGATGGATCCATGTTCTCATTCTGTTTACGCCAAATTCTGACTCTACCATTTGAATGTCTCAACAGAAATCGAGACTCATAAGACCAGGCAACATTTTTCCAGTCTTCAACTGTCCAATTTTGGTGAGCTCGTGCAAATTGTAGCCTCTTTTTCCTATTTGTAGTGGAGATGAGTGGTACCCGGTGGGGTCTTCTGCTGTTGTAGCCCATCCGCCTCAAGGTTGTGCGTGTTGTGGCTTCACAAATGCTTTGCTGCATACCTCGGTTGTAACGAGTAGTTATTTCAGTCAAAGTTGCTCTTCTATCAGCTTGAATCAGTCTCTGACCTCTAGCATCAACAAGGCATTTTTTGCCCACAAGACTGCCGCATACTGGATGTTTTTCCCTTTGCACACCATTCTTTGTAAACCCTAGAAATGGTTGTGCGTGAAAATCCCAGTAACTGAGCAGATTGTGAAATACTCAGACCGGCCCGTCTGGCACCAACAACCATGCCACGCTCAAAATTGCTTAAATCACCTTTCTTTCCCATTCTGACATTCAGTTTGGAGTTCAGGAGATTGTCTTGACCAGGACCACACCCCTAAATGCATTGAAGCAACTGCCATGTGATTGGTTGATTAGATAATTGCATTAATGAGAAATTGAACAGGTGTTCCTAATAATCATTTAGGTGAGTGTATTTCATCTAATTGCTCTTGTATTTATGTATTTTAGTATTAAGCAGTGTTTAAATTATTTTATACAATCCCATCAATGTATAATATGCCAATAACAAAAGGATTTTTTTTTTCATGGAATAGGATTAATAATTTCCCCTTTATTTCTTATGGGGAATATTCGTTTGGTATACGTCATGTTTGGTATAAGTCCAAGGATCTGGAAGGGATTAAGGACATATACTGAGGTACCACTGTAATTAGGGGACTGTAAAAGGAAGGGTTACCTCACACTTGATATTATTACTAACCATAAATACAAAAAAAATGTTAGCAATGTCTGATGCATTAGAGACACTTAAATTATTATTTTATGAAGGTTTTCATTTGGAAAATAACTGTGAAATATAATAATTTTTGGTTGTGCCACCTGACATTTTTCAGTGAAAATCTTGTGATTCACCCAATAAAATGAATAAAGAGATGAACAGATAATAGTTTCCTCCATTCTCAGCCTCACGTGGCGTGAATCCCTCATTATTTCAATACTGAGCAGAAGGCCAGTAAAGGACCTGCACTACCTGCTTTTGGCGTAATATAAGCAACTTTGCAGAACTTTTAATACAAGGAACACTCGACTCTCAAGGTGGCAGCCAGCTGCTCCTGTTCCCTGTTCACTTTATGATTTAAGTATGTGTATTATGTTGACATTATAATTCATCTACATCCCCAAGAGCTCATGAACACTGCAGAATTTTTTTTTATTACTTTTATTTTCTATTTTAGTGATCAGTGGTCATTGTTAACACACCACAGCACACAATGCACAAAAACGAAATATGTCCTCTGCATTTAACCCATATCTGACATCGGGACACAGCAGGGGGCAGCTAATTCAGCGCTGGTGGAGCAGTACCTTGCTCAGAGTAACTCAGTGGTGCCCTGCTGGTCAGGGATTCGAGGCACCACTGAGGTAACCTGAGCAAGGTAATGTCCCCAAGAATCCGAATCTGTTCCTTCAAATATCTGACCCATGCTTTTGTGCAATAAAGACAATTTACCAGTAAAGTTTTCACTGACCAAGAATAAGGAGGTGAACTGGCAGAAGTGCTACCACTGCCAGTACAGAGGCCAATGAGCAGGTATTCTATCCAAAGGAGACAGAAGAGCTTTCACAGAATGGGCCCTATTTTCCACTGCCGCAAAGTGTGACACAAAATGGTTTTGCTAGTTTCGTACCAGCGGATTGCTCATTTTCATACCATGTGTGCATGTCGTTAAAATAGCAAATGATTTTGCATCTGCTTTCTTCTCCTAAAAGAGTTGTTTTTAAATGAGGTGTGACCAAGGGCATTGTCGGTTGCTATCTTAAGGCAGCAAAACAATATTGCACTTTTGACCAACAAAAACCACATCTAAAGTCAGTGGCGCATTGTTAAACGATATTTTAGTGGAGCGCTTTAGAAACATGCGGGTGCACGGCTCTTGTTACGGACACAGCTACACCCTCAAGGGGCACTAATGGCTTTTTGCTATTATATTTATGGTATATACATTTTATTATACAGTAGAGTACAATTGGTCCTTTCATGTAATCCTACCGTTCAATGAAATACCTTAGGAAAAAAATATATATATAAAGTGAAGAAACTGTATCATTAAAAAAATCATTTGAGATAATTATCAGAATTAAGCACATACTGTAATTGTCTTTCAGATATTTAGATAAGTCAGGTAGCACATTACAATACAGCCCTCAGAAGGCTGCAGCATTCTTTGTGGCATGTTGTATCTTGCATAACATTGCCATGTATGATGGATGTCTGTTGGACATTAGAAAGCGTGATGCTGAACTGCATGTGCTGATGCCAGCAGAGGAGTGTACGCCAGCAGCAGCACAGGCAAGAAGGGGTCAGCCGGTAGAAGAGCTGAATCGTCTGTAGCCTTTAGGGAATGTAAATTGTGAGATGTAGTAGAAAAAGAGCCATATTGACTTTTATTTTAACATTTTAAAACACCATAAAAACTGTAGGATGTGTTTTGTTAAAACAAAGATAACACTTTTATTTATATTTTGTGAACTTCAGACCCAAAATTAAAAAAAAAAAAAAAAACACAAGCATAATTAAGTCTCTGTTCCCAGCTGCTGCTCTCGTTCAGCAGCAACCTTCCCCACCTTCTGACATCGTTATGCCGCTTTCGGCACTGAGCGGGTGATCTAATGATGCCAGAAAATGAGGACACACTTGCTGCTACCTCATCCCACGCCTGCTTTACCCAAAAGGGCCTACATGGAACAGTGCTACTCCTGTAAATCATGTGCTCATGCCTTTTCACCTCGTGCATGAGCAAACACACCATTGTAACGGCAATCCACAGTACACCATGCGGCGCTGCCTTTTAAAGGTGAGGTGACGCGCCTTTCTCATTGGTTCATTGAATGTTACGCCCAAAACACGGCTCTGAATAATTGGGAGAGTTAGGACAACCTTTTTACGCCTTGCGCTGGTGCAAAGTTTGTTTTTTCTGCTGTCAAAATAGCAAAATGGATTTGGACACTCCCATAACTGCTAGCTAAGCTTTGCGCTTTGCATTAGATCATCAAAATAGAGCCCAATGTATGCTTGCTTACTGACAAGATGCATGAATTAATGTTGCTTACCAGGACTAATAAGTACTATGCCCTTATCTCTGCATTCTGCTTTTTAGAAACATGGCTTAGCTAAGATATACCAAACAATGCCTGAACACCAATTACTCTGAGCGAAGGGCAAGAACGTGCAGTGTGGAAAATCACATTATGACGGCGTTTGCATGTTTGCAAACAACACAGGTTGCAGCGATATTTTCAACCTTTTGTCTGTTTTCTTCTGTCAAAGCAGTGGAGGACTCTAAAGCTACCTACAAGAAGCAACTAGAGATAGACTTCTTCAACAACAATAGAGGGTATGAAATGACATCACTTCCCCGGCCAAACACGCCTCCCTCAGACAGATTAAGATGCAAAACATGCTGCAAAATTAGTTGTTTTAGTAGGGGAAACTGTGAAACTAACGATTATCTGCTTAAATTAAAAGAAGTTGGACTTGACAGGAATCCCTACAACTTTACAAAGGACCAGAGGAACATGGAATCGGGTTTGTTGATGGCATATTTTGAACAAACTTTTTTTATAAATTTGCTTTGTGGACTAGCCCCTGAAGAAGATGGTTATTTAATAACTACAGTTAATGAAATAATTGGCAATATTTTTTATTCTTAATGAAAGAAAAGTCAATAATGTAATAACTGGCCAATAGTGTAATACATTTTTTATTCAGAAATTTTATTGTGTTATTGGTAGGTTATTGCATTTTTGGCTTTCATTACATTGTACTACATAATTATTACATTAATGGTAAATATGACATTATTGGCTGCTACAACCCTTTTAAGGAAAACTGGGTTTGTCTTGGCTAGCTAATGAGCCCCCACTTTATTTGTAGAATACAAGGCTCATTATTGTAGATGCTTTTAAATAAATGCTGACAAAAACTATACAGATAAACAGAATATAAATGAAGGATGCTAAATATTTCAATACAGTATATAACTTAGGTATGATTTTACCAATAAAATCCCACGTAACTGACATGAAATATCCCACATACCTTGTAACCGCAAATCTCTAAACGCTCTTATCTGCGTTCCAAAGGCGCAGTGCGCGCTCGTAGTGTCTGTTTTGCTCGGTTTATCTATGCGTCTGCGCTCTCGTATATTTGGCAGTGATCTCACTCCATAGAATTCCGGTTCTTTCTGTGGATTGCAGCAATTCATTTGCTTCTCTTTTCTTTATTTTCAGCTGTCTGAAAAAACCTGATTTCTTCTAAAATCGATAATTTTATCGATTTAAGAATTAGATCATATTAATATGTTACATTAATGAGTTTGTAACAATGGATCCCAATGTGTACTCCTAATTGTCTTAATTTTACATTAATTTGGGGAAGTTTTAATATTAGTACTGAAATTTATAAAAACTGTGTGATTAATTGGTCAATGTATTAATTGCTTCACAGCCCTATTTTTTTTTGTGCCCAAGAAACATGTCAGTGCAGTTGAGTTTGTACCCATATTGTATATTATGTGATTAAATAAACTGTTATTTCATGTAGTTTTGATCCAATACAGTTTGTGATTTTTCTGGTATTTTCAGACTGCATGATTGACCTGCAGATTTTATCATTGTGGACCCAGGAAGGAGCAGGTGGGGGGGATCACCTTTATTTCTATAGATCTGAAGTGTCCTAGGACTGGGACTGGGACTGGGGCTGGGAGTTTGAGTGACAAAGGCGTCCGTCTCCAATTAGCCAGGCACCAAGGTAAGTTAAAATCGTGATATTCTTAAAAGGCTGATTAATGTGATTAATCAAAGTGAAAGCTTTGACAGCACAGGGAACTACACATGTGCTTATTGGGTACCACTTTAAAAACAGTAGTTCTGCTTTACTGACAGCTCACTGCCAGCATAACATTAAGTGGCACAGACAAAGAAGTCCACAATTTAAGTGGCATTCACACTCGGGGTCTGACGCTAACAAATATGCATTCTCCATGGTAAAACAATGCATTATAATTTTAAAGTGCCAGTTCACCCCAAAATCAAAAAAACATATTTTTCAAATAGGCTGTAGTGTTATTTATCCACCTATGTTGTTGTGGTGAGAGTTGCCTTGTTTCGGAGATATCAGCCGTAGAAATGGTACTGAATGGCATTCTTCTTGTGCTGATTAAAACTCCAAAAAAATACATTTGAAACATTCAACAGCAATGTCTCATCAGAAATCATAACCGGGTTACTCAAGATAATCCACTGACCTTGTAGGGAACAGTTTCATGTAGGAACAATTTTCTTTCTACCAAACTCCACATGCCAACTGTACCATTGCGCAGAAGATAGTGATAAAACTACCCTTTTTTTACTATTACTATGTGGTGCTGCTTCAAATTTGGGGCAATCGGTTTCAAAATTTAATCAGTTCCAGTTCATCACCCATAGAATGTTTCTACAAATATTGAGAATGATCTATCATATACTTTTTAGTTATTGTGCTAATGGGGTCAAGTGTCAGAAACTGGCATTTTCTTCTTGCTATCACAATGCGGCGCTGCTTCAATTTCAGTGCCATCTGATTCAAAATTTAATCTGTTCCACGACATCATACAAACAATGTGTCTGCAAAGTTTGAAACAGATCCATCAAATACTTTTTGTGTTATCACATTAATGAGAAAGTGTCTGCAGTTGTGGTGGACCAGTCCGAAAACCATGTGTGTGTGGGATTCAAACCCCTAACCCCAGAGGGTGCTGCTACCCACCATGCGGCACCACACTAAAACATGAAAAACTTTTACCTCTATTTTACCCTTGGAACAAAAAAAACATTTTATAAACATTGCTATTTTAGAAGCTAATGCCAAATCACTCATACTTGGCATCTTTAAGCGCATCTCCAGCTCTGTTGCATGACAGGGTCTTCGGTGTGGGGTTTTGTCAACCTGTGTGACCAATCAATCACATCTTGGAAACCTGCCAGCTGACCACAGAAAGGTCATGCTTTTGGATCTGTTCCATTACTACTTGCAATGGCAAAAAATGAGGAAGAACTTGTCTAATGAAGGACATCCATCAATGGCCTTTGGTTTTAATTCACAAGAAAATAAAACTTTCTCTAAATAAGAGCAGAATTTACCTAGTTTTAAACACAAAGCACGACTGGTGTGAAGTGTGATTCATACCCCCACTTGGCCGTCCCGTCAGGCATTGTCTATTGTATCCTGTCAACACCGCTAGGGAACAGGAAGAGCGCGTACTAATATTCCCGCCAGCTTGGGAAGGCCCTCAAGTTACAGTAGATGTTCATGGTTCATTTCCTCCCTGACGGAGATATCCAGAGATGAACCAAATCTACAGTATGTAGATACATCCTCTGGAAAGAAAATAAAAAAACTGTAGTGTAGCTCAGTAATACACAGGAAATTTTCCTGTGGAAATTTGCAGCTTCCCAGTTCAAAATCTGAAAATGGTTTAACTTTAAGATGTGATACAGATAATCCAAAATGTTATCATTCAAAACTTTCTGATGATACACAATCGAGAGAAAACCCACCTCTAGCCTGACACTGGATGTCAACCGTTTTATCCACCTCTCCCATGATGTTCCTCTGGGGTTCAGCCGTGAAGTAGGGGGCCTCTGTGGAGGAACCACAACAAAAGAAAGACATGTTAGAGTGGGGTTTCTGCGTGGGACTGAGGAATACCCCAGTGCAGTTTAAAGGGACTTAAATTTGGGGATCATGAAAGAGAACAAGCCCACTGTGAGGAATACAGGGGAACCACCAAAAAAAGGACCAGCATGTAGAACAGAAGCCACCTCAGAACAGCTTCTGTCTCTCAATTCAAGAGATGAGATGAGTTTGTTACAAGCAAATTCATATGGTGCTATTATTGTCCACATAGATTTGCTGATCAACCACATGCAAAGCAGCCAATTGAGATGTCCAGCTGAGCTGTAACTGATGACTTGTCTGTATTTCCAACTCTTTGAGCAAAATACTATGAATAATTTCAACCATAAATAGCTATATACCCATTTAATAATTTGTTTGCTCATTTTCAGATCTATGCATGCATTTACAGATTTGTCTACAAATATACAAATATCAATATTCTTGCAAATCTTATTAAACATTTATGGATTCTTTTACACATTTACAAATCCGATTACACATAAACCATTTTAGACAAACAACCTTCTATACACACATACAAATAATTTTGCTACAATAATAGTCCACAAATTTCCCTTCAAAAATAAATCCAATAGAAAAAAGTTTCTCCCAATGAGGGAAGAAGGGGAAAAATTGCAGACAGTGACCTTTAATTAAATAAAACAAACACCAGTTGTCAATGCATACTGTGTTTATCTGTACTTAATGCAGTGTCTGCTGCCTGATGGCCATTTTAGCAGTTTGTCTGCATGTTACAAGCGTTTCCATAGCATTTCTTTACTGTTAGACAATGACTGACAGAGAGAGCAAGAGTGTGTGTTCAGTTCAGTCCTGAAAATCCAAACAGTGTTTTTCTCAGAGATAATTGCCACAGATAACTGTCACAGCCCTGTTGCCATCTTGCTAACATAATAACAAAAATCACTGCCATAAAAACATTTCTATTATAGTTCTGTTATTATATTCCTACTATAAAGTTTGTTTGCAGAAGAGTGCTGTTTCCTGATAACACAAGGCTAGTGAGTGCTTTTAATATTTGGGGGAAAACTGAATACATATTTGTTTACACTTAAATTGAAGGCAGGCCACAATGCATAGTGGCAAACCCTCTATATATAGAGGTCTTACACTGTACAATGAAAGCCTGCTTTACACTGCAATGCCTAGCTGGCACCTCCATTCAAATGGATGGTCTTTTTATCTGCTGCACGATACCATAATGATGGTTACAAACGGCAAACAGACTACATGCTGTAACCATTAAATCATAATTACTAAACAGCAGCTCCATTGGGTGCCACCATCCCATAATGCTATGGGTCTCAGGTACAGTCCACTCATCCCACACTAGCTCATCCTGGACATGGCGATTAGAAACAGGCTGTCGGAATGACTTTTCATTTTGTAGCCCCGTTTTTTTCCCCATAACATTAACCTCTGCTTTACTTTAAAAGCAACAAAGGTAAAGAGCTGAATTCTACATAGTAGCTGTGTTCTATGGAGCAGCGGTTTAGGCTCCACAATAAGAAAAACAACAATCCTGTTGGAAGCCCAGTGTTAGCAGCAGGGTCTCAGTGATGCCTGTGCGGAGATGGGGCGGGGGTGCTTTACCCATGACGGAGAGGAAGGCCCGGGCCTCAGCTGTCTTCACACTGCTGTCCAGTAAGGTGGCCTCACACATGTATTGCCCCGCATCCAGCAAGGTGGGGTTGATGACCATCATCCTCCGGCCAAAACTTCCCACTGCACTGGCCAGGGTCACGCCATTGTGTTTCCAGGTGATGTTCAGCTTTTCTATGGGCCTTTGGAGTGTGGGGGGGGGTTCGGCGGAGACACATGGACACTGAGAATCTGAAACATTCACACTCTTCTTTCACTTTTGGTAGATGTCCCCAACTAATCCCCCCCCCCCCACACCTCTGTAATCCTTTTAGAGGTGAACATACAGTGCCTGACAAAAGTCTTGTCACTTAACCAAGTTGTAGGAACAACAAATAATAACTTGACCTGTAGTAAATCAGTTGTAATCAGAAATGGCTTATAAGAAAAGGCAAAGCCCTCTAGATTATGCTTATTATACCAAAATAAAGTTTTGCATCATTCATTGAGTTTTGTCATGGAATTAGGACAGAAAGGTCAACTTTTACCTGGACAAAAGTCTTGTCACATACAAAAATAATGTAGAAATTATACATATACTTAATTTAGAATACACAAACATGCTACAATAACATCAGAACATAAAGTCATGGTGCCTTGGAAAAAAAAATTAATAATGTGTATGACTCCCATGAGCTTGGAGGACCACATCCATACGTCTTGGCAATGACTGAAATAACTTGTTGATGAAGTCATCTGTAATGGCAAAGAAAGCAGTTTTGCAGGACTCCCAGGGTTCGTCTAGATTCTTTGGTTTCGTCTTCCAAGCCTCCTCCTTCATCCTACCCCAGACATGCTCAATAATGTTCATGTCTGGTGACTGGGCTGGCCAATCCTGGAGCACCTTGATCCTCTTCAGTTTCAGGAACTTCAATGTGGAGGCTGAAGTACTGTATGAGAAGGAGCGCTATCCTTCTGCAGAATTTGCCCTCTCTTATGGTTTGGAATGTAATGGGCAGCAAGAATATCTTGATACTTCAGGCTGTTGATGTTGCCATCCACTCTGCAGATCTCTCGAACACCCAATGCTGGATGTAACCCCAAACCATGATTTTTCCTCCACCAAACTTGACTGTTTTCTGGGTGAATTTTGAGTTCATGCGGGTTCCAACAGGTCTCCTGCAGTATTTGCGGCATTTGGTATGTAGTTCAATGGATGATTCGTCAGAAAAATCAACCTTCTGCCACTTTGCCTCTGTCCATCCTTGCTGCAAGCTGTGGGCCTTGGCAAATTAAACATGCTTTTTTTGTTGCGTTCTCGTTAATGCTGGTTTCTGAGCACTAATTTGGCCATGGAGACCACTGTGTGCGAGAATTCGAGAAACTGTTCTTGTAGACACAGCGGTTTCTGGTGACCAGTTCTGATGTAGCTCTGCTGCAATTGAAAAAGGGTTGACCCTGGACTTTCAAAGCAACAAACGGTCCTCTCAAAGAGTTGTCTTATGGGGTCTGCCTGACCTGGGCTTGTCATGAACATCACCAGTTTCTTCATATCTTTTTTTAATCATCTCCACTTGTCGTTTGGATACATTAACGATGTCTGCCACCTCAGCAGCAGACTTGGTCTGTGGTTGAATCTTTGGCATGTTGTCAGAAGTTAGGTTGCACTTCAAGTGAAGGTCTGGTGTTCTTGGGGTTCTTTTTATACACACCTGGGATTATGTTAATTCCAATATTTGTCACAGGTGAACCTCTAATCTGTGATTGGTTGAATCATTAAAAGACATGACAAGACTTTTGTCCTTGCAAAAACAGGTGTTATGGACTTTAACAAGCTGTGAACATCAGGACACTTTTTGACTGTTTCATTTTGCACCCAATTATTAATGTGAAAGCCCTTGGCATTAAATTTAAATTGATCCATTCATTGTAACAATTGATTGATTAGAAATAAAGTTATATGCCTTTTTAAGTTACTATGTCCTTATGTGACAAGACTTTTGTCAATGACTGTACTAACACAGCATATAGTACAGAGATTGTGTGGACATGTAGGTGTCCTGGTTCTTGCCTGCTTGCATTTCAGATCCTCTCATACAGAGGTAAATTCTGTGATTTACTCCAAAGTAAAATATCCCAGTAAAAATACCCCTACCAGCCACAAAAACAGAATAATGTAGCCTTTCATAGCCAGCTCACCATTTACACTACCCCCCCACCCCCCTTGTCAATCGCCTTGGGACAACCAAAACTCCTATTTTGTCTTTTATTGCAATGCCCTTTTGTTCCTTATTGTAGTCCTATCGTCCCCTCCCTTGCAACTGTGGCACACGAATTTCAGTAAAACTTGAAACTTGATGTTTGTAGACAAAGTCAGGTACTCGGAGTCTGACACCTGCCGGGTGGTGTGGGGAACCAACCTGGCATTGGCCACGCACTCCAGGGATGCCTCACCACTCCCGGCGAGTACTGTGGTATTCCTGGGGGGGATCACGATCACCGGTGCCATAGGGTCTGCGGAGGAGTCCAAGTCTGCTTCAGGAGGGAGGTGGTGGGGGAAAGACACAACAATACATGTCATCCAACACTGAGACTCCACCAGAAAACATCTCACGTCCAACAGAGTGGTTTATAAGCTTGCTGTGCTGAGAGACAGGGCGTAATCAGGGCTTTGTGTTACATGCTGCACTAAAGCAAGCTGCTCCCCGACAACACCGATCCTCCCCAGCAGCTACAATACAATGGATCATTCCAGGCATGTGCCATAGAGTCAGCATAACTGTGTGGTTTGTATTTTACTTCTCAGGAAGGTCACAGTCACGACCATATTCCTTCCAAACATATTCCCACTTCAGGGTTAAATCAGCAAAGACAATGGGCCAAATGGGCATTCGCACAAAATTCCCTTGAGTGATTCCAGCTAAAACGAGGGAGTCTCTGTGAGCCTCTCCATCATGCAGAGTTAAAATGGGGGGGGCACAGCCTACTGCTTACAGAACTCGAATCGCTCTGTCATTCATTAACTAGCGTCTTCTTAAATAGACATGTTTTTGCCAAAATAGTGGAAATCTATGACAGCAGCTGGTGCCTTCAATTATCAATGGATTACTTGGCTGGTGACTGAGTGGCACTGAGTTATCATTTCCACGATACCCAGTGGTGAGCCTAAAGGTGGAATTCTACTTTTATTTTTGATGTCATTTACACATAATACATGAATTTTTGTGGAAAAAGCTATACTTGCAGACACACAAGAAAGACATGATGAGACTGAACATTTCACAAATGACTGATGAGACTTGAGTTTTTATTCACTTAAATGAAATGATTCTTTACTAATTGATTTTTCAAAGTAAGGTAATTAGCATCAGGGAGGAACATCCCTCTGACTCCATATGAAAATTCACAGCTTTGGTTCATCTCATGTATGGAATTAATAAAAAATGAACAAAGAAAGCAACAGGGCAGAGTGTGGAAATTTAAAAGACACCCGGAGACGAGTGTACAGTCTTTGATGAAGAAACATACAGGGGAGGTAATTAAAGCCTTCTTGTGAGATTCTCATCTCCTAGTAAAACCTGAAAGAAAATCATTTGGTATAAACAGTCCCAGTGGAAACAAATAAAGACAGAAACAAACAAATACAGGATAATCAACATAGAATCAGGACACATTAAATTATAAACACAAAGGAAGATATTTCACGTTACTCTCTTATGGACAGCATGGGAGCACAGTGCGGGCCCCTTTTACCTCATACAGTACCAATAGGGCTGGGTATTCAAGATCCACTCATGCATCGTGTGGGTGAAGTTTGCATGTTCTGCCTGTTTAGTTTTTGTCTGGGTTTTCTGGCAGTCCCTTGATATGCAGTTAAACTGGTGTCTCAAAACCCCTTCCATGGTGCACATCAGACTGGTGCCCTGTGACAGACTGGCACCCCTTCCATGGTGCACATCAGACTGGTGCCCTGTGACAGACTGGCACCCCCTCCAGGGTGCACATCAGACTTGTGCCCTGGGATAGACCAGCATCCCATCCAGGATGTCCCCTGGTTTGTGCCCTGTGATAGACTAGTATCCCGTCCAGGGTGTACCCGAGCCTTGTGTCCTATGATAAACTCCAAAACTCCCTAAACCCTGTATTAGATACATAGTTGGAAGATGGATAGATGGATGGATGGATGAACATTGTTTAATGTCTGTGTGTCCTCATCTTGCGCTTGATTCCCGATCCCTCTTTCAGTTCTAGTGTGTGTCTCCTCTTCCCAGTGACTGCAGGAGTGCCTGCCTTTCCTTGCACCCACAGGGCGGATCTATTGGCTTAGATTATATTGCCAACTATGTCTCCCATCATCTCTGCTCCTTGAGGGTTCTGCATTACAGAGTTACTCGCCACCAATGAATCCAGCAGAACTCCACGGTGCATTGATGTGCCATCTCACCGCTTTGCCCAAGCTACCCTCTCCACTGGCATACTTGCCAATATGATTTTCAGTGATGTTTTTGTAATTCTGGCATGCCAGAAGGCATTGTTAGGAATAGAACAGCTTAATTTAGTTCTGGAGAGCATCATGCTGCCACATAGGCATTACACTGATGTCCTCTGGGTATCATCCACAAACAAACGGCCCCTGGGCCAAGTACACCCAAAATTCCCTATATGATTTGTCCCTTTGACTAACCCCATATCAGTGTGTTTTTGGATTTCAACCCTCATTATGGAGCCCAGCAATGTGCCATGGACCACTGGTTCCGGAGGAAAGAGGTGCATGATCCTCAGACCTGAGCGGTACAATGACAGAAAGCAGTTTCTGACCACTAATGACATCCCCCGCCACTCCTCCACTCCAGACAGCAAGAAGAACTTTGCATCTGTATCTCCCCAGTCCTTCAAGTATCTCTGCTTAAGCCCATTCGTCATAGCCCAATGCATCCTATTACCTAATATAATATAATATAATATAATATAATATAATATAATATAATATAATATAATATAATATACACACTGAAGGAACCAACTAACCAAAGATGGTCAATTTAAGCACTCCAGATCATTTAAGTTGCATGTTTTTGGACAGTGGAAAGAAACTGGAGGATCCACCAAAAAGCCACAGATACAGGGTGAATACATAGTGCAAAGCGCTACCCACTATGCCAGTGTGCCATCGACATGGCATCATGCACATGCAATCCGTGACAGATTGCTGGGTTCAAACCATCAATCAGTTGCATTGAAACATTTTTATTCAGTCATAGGAAACAAAACTTAGCAAGCTTTGAATTTTAATGATGGTTCCTTTACAACATGTTTATGTCCTTTTCAACATGTATATGTTAAAAAAATAAAAAAATCAGTCTAAAGTTTCCCACCTGCTTTTGCATGAGCTCTGCATGCACTCTTTGATAAAAAGTCCTTGCTGTTGGACTCACTCATAGATAGGGTTGCCACCCCTATCTATCCCTTATAATATGGGATCTTCCTGCACTGGAAAATAAACTGCTGCATCCCGTATTAAATGGGACGATCCCGTAATATGTGGGGCAGGCGGTAACCCTACTCAAAGGCCATGTGGCACATTTGTCAGAAATTAAACAAAAAGGAGTGAAGAGGAGAAAAGTGAATGAGGACTGGTCATGGAAAGACATTTGTCCTCCATTATATGGAAATATTTTGTATTTCATAGAGACAATATTGAGTAAAAGCAAGTGACTAGTCTGCACTGCTTTGTGTCTGTTGGTCCAACTAATGGCTGCACTACCAATTTATTTTACAATCTCTCTTGCTAGAAAATAAGTTCTATTTGGCGATATAGTTAATTTTCAATATTGCAAATATTGCAATAACTTCAAATATCGCAATGTGAACTTTTCTCAATATCGTTCAGCCCTACTCAAAACACAATATTTTCAAAAAAAAATAATTAATATTATATGGTTATTATGAACTGTTTATGTACTGTAAGATGATGCGCTAAGCAACAGGGATAACCTTTGTGATTATTCTGACATGGAGGAATCGTAGAAAGTTAATTAATTAATTAAGTCAAAGTGACTAGGATACTTTGAGAAGCTAAATGGCACATATTTATGGTTGAACTGGCTTCACTTGGGTGAGCCCGTCAAACCTGACTGCGGTGATATTTAAGTCCTGCTTTGCAGATGACTGACAGATGACTGGATTTTCATACACTTTTAATGTGAAGTGATTCCATACAACTGACAGTTTTGCTATGTATTTGGACACTCATCTGCTTTGTGCTGTGTTCCATCCACCATATTGCCGAGTACTCAAAAAGAAAATTTTAACCGATGCTTTTAAATAATCAAGCAATCGAGTTTAATTGAATAATTGTAACATTTTTGTAACCAGTCTTTATACATCTTTCCTGGCCAGTCATGAAAAGACAACAATGAAAAACAAAACAGACATCAGCAATGGCCATAGAGGCCCTGAACAGGAAACCACCTGATCGGCAACTGACAGCCAGAGGGCCTCCTCAGCAGGATGGCTGAGGGTCTGTCCTATTCTGATCACTTGTTCTGTGTAGTCTGTCAGCTAACAAATATAACACGTTTTGAGAAGCAGAAATGGTGTCACATCTAAGACATAAAGAAGTCTTCTGTTTATGACATCAAGATAAAACTTTAGTATGAACCAGCAATAACAGTTAGCTGATGTCTTTGTATAACTTTTAGTGCTGTATAATGATAAAAATCTGATGTCATATTTTATTGTTCAAAACAAGGGAAAAAGAGAGAGAATACAAGGAAGAAAAAGGAACAAAAGGAACAAAATGGCAAAGGAAGGTGACGATGACGATTTCCATAGGATTTCTTACCAAGAGGTCTACGGTTCTTCTTCCTTGCTGTCCGATAGGCATGAGGAAGAGATGGAAAAAAATAATGGCAGATTCTATCATTTCACTTCAGTGATTTCACACAAACTGTGGCTCGTGATGTCCTGTGGCCCATGATGCTGAGAGAAGGTAGAGAGGTGCCACGGATAGTACTGTCAGAAGGTGGAGAGATATGGTGGATGGCGCTGATAGAAGGTGGAGCGGGACCACAGATGCAGCTGAGAGAAGGTAGAGAGAGAGTGTAGGCGGCACTGAGAGCAAATGGAGAGGGACTGTGGACAGTGCAGTTCTGACTAGGTACTTCATTGGAAGGTAAGTGGGTTTAGGCTTGGCAAGTACTTGGAAAGGAAGACCAACTGATGGAAGAGGTGTTATTAGGGCCAACAGGTTAGTCCATCTTGTATCTGTGTTGATCCTAATGCCACAATACAATGATGGAGACACTGTGCTGTAAAAACGGTGATGTCCTTCAGAGGACACATAAAACTGAGGTCCCGACTCTCTGAGGTCATAAAAAATCGCTGGGCATTTTTCATAAGGATAGGGGTGGAACCCCGATGTCTTGGTTAAAATGATCTACTCTGGTCCTTTCGAACTGAAACGGCTCCCCATTGTTTTTGTAAAGCATTTTGGGTGTCTTGAAAAGTGCTATATATATGTATATATAAAATCA